ATATGCTGATGCCTTATCATGACCAATAAAAACTTAGCCTTTCCTGGAGTTTTTGACTCTCTGCCACACTGTAGCAACAAGGTCCCAGAGTTTAAACCTTTACTGTGGAGTTTTTAAACAACAGAATAGTAGTAGTAGTAGTAGTAGTAGTAGTAATAATAATAATAATAATAAAATTTATTTATACCCCACCCATCTGGCTGGGTTTCCCCAGCCATAATAGGATTCTTATGCTACCTGGGGCAGAAAGCAGAGCTGTAGCTTTTTTCCTTGAACACCTGAAATATGTGTATCTTATGCTCAATATTTTAGAAGCGGGACCTAAGAACTGCCATGTTATTTTAAGCAGACGTACATACTTCTATGCTCCACTGAGACTAATTCCCAGGTAACAGGACACAGGATTGATGCCTTAATAGTCCTGCTTGTGTGAGCTGGGGACCGGCTTGTCAGTCCATCAGTTCATCTAAGACTGAGTACCATTCCCTCCCATGGATGGATCAGTGGCAGAAACACAGACATATCGCTTTCATCATTAGATGTCCTTTGTCACTCCTGCTGAGCTCTCCATTTACCTTTTTGTGGTTACTTAGTGGCTTGTAAATCCAAGTGTTAAATTAATGTGATGAGAAAAGCTTTACATGTAGCAAGATCCAGAAGACATTGTAATTTATGGCTGCAGTCTTGAAGTTGAAATGCCGTTGTTTGTTGGCTAATCATTCTAATCTCAAACGCTACAAAAACCAGGGTGTATCTCTGATTCACCAGTTCAGTGCATTAACCACTAGGCTGAGGGCAAAAACATTGCTAATCCCACTTTCAGAGGATCTAAAACGTAGCCTGCGATTTCAACATGTGTTTAATTTGAGGCTCATAGGGACTTAGAACCTATTAAAGCAGGTGTGTTTCTTCTCCTTATTTGGAGAGCAGCAAACTATCATCCCAGATCTGTTCTCACCCCAGCATTTGCAACTTGGTTGGAGAGCAGAGCATGTGCACTCCAAGTATAGCTGGAGACTGTCTCTGCACATTGTTAATATTGTACATCTTAGGACAAGGACAAAAATGTGAATTGCAAAAGGGAATGAATAATGAAAACAGGAGTCTGGTGTTCTGCGTGCTGGCTGAGTCTCTCTCTCTACAAAATCTATCACCAGCTGCATCCCTTTCATTGCAACAACAAAAAAATGCTGTAGGTAGGGGCACACAGACATCTGTGGTCGAGCATTATTGCCTCCTGTGGCTCAGGGGGCTTCCTGCTGAGGTTCGGTCAGACAAGCAAAGGGCTTGGGCAGCTCCTTGAACCAAAGCTCCTGGGTTTCTGTGGTTTTCCCAGAGTTCCTTGAAGCCTTAACAAAACAGTGTGGGTGGGTTGCTTTGTGCTGTGTGAGCTATCCATATCCAGAACTTGACCCAAGAGACAGATGGCATTGTGAGGAGGAGTTGAAAATGAGGCAGCAATATGATGCAGTGGCATCAATGTCACAAGCAGGTAGGGATTAGGTGAGGTGACAAAGCTCACCAATTGTGATTCAGTTCCAAAACAGGGACAGTGTGTCTAGCCCTAATCCTATGGCGACAGAAGGATGCTATGAAATGCTAGATGGGGCTAATATGTTAATCGGGATTAATAAGAATTCCCACGGCCTAGACAAAGCAAAAATTGGGTATCGGCATTAGCCACAACCATCTCTCTCTTTTTTTAAATAATATTTATTACTTTTATAGATTACAAAAAGAGAAAGAAAAAAGAAAAAACAGAATAAAAAAACAGAGGAGAAAAACAAAAAGAAAAAAACAATACAATACAATATATAAACAATACAAAACACAACCTAAACTTAAAACTAAACACATTAAACTAAACTAAACTAAACAAACCCCACTCCCGAACCTTAACCCTGAATGGAACAAAACAAAAACAATTTAAAAACATACCTCATCTCTTTTCCATACTCTATCTTTCATTCCCTTATTTCCTCGACCTCCTCTCACCTCCCTTTTTGTTTTCCACTTCTATTAATTGTTTCAGCAAATCCTTTTCATCTTTCTCCATTTTCTGTGATATTGTAAATAACGTATTTTTTAACCTTATTTTCCATTAAAACTAAAATACTTATGTGTGCTTAACTCCTTATAACATTTCTGTTAAGCCCATAAAAAATAAAAAATCATTCCACCATTTTTCTATCACTCATTAATTTTACCATAAGTCTATATATAAACTTTAGATTTTCCAATATTCTTCCACCATCTCCTCACCCAGGTTTCGGATTCTGCCAGTCCTTTCCGTCAATTCCATAAAGTGCCTCAACCTGGTGATCTTATGTCCGAGGCTCTTAACTCTTTTCCAAGTCCCTTCTGCAGGTCTTCTTCATTTTCTTTAATGCTAAAGAGCAAATCTCGGGGAAACTCCAACCTGTCAATCCTTTTCTTCCTTCTGAACAGATCAACTAAATTTCCATAGTTAAAGCTACAGTCCATAAAGTATTTCCGGGTATATTTCAAAATTCCTCCAATTCCAAAGGCCCCCAAAACTTCAATCTCCTCCAGGCCTGAGTCCATGTCCCAAAAATCAGTTAATCCCTGCATAGAGGGCTCTTTCCAACTTTGCTTCTTTAGTCCAAGCCGGGATTCATTCCTCGGAGTCTGACTTTTCCTAGATTCAATCATAGAAGGCCTCAACTTATAATCCTCAATTTGCTTCTGTAAAACCACAGATCTCACTTGTATTATTTTATGTTCAACAGCAGCAGCATTCTCCTCCTCCTTCTCCTCCACCATTTGTCCTGCCAAAGTGGGTTCCTGTACCAAGTCCTGAATTATTTCTGTATTGGTGTTTGCTTTTTGACTCAAGTTGGTCACTTTCTGTTCCAAATTATCAACTTTGAAAGTCATGTCATCCATCTTCTTGTGAAGCTGTCCCAGCGAACAGCTTATCTTACATAAAACAGTCACAATGGCCTCTCCTGTCAACATTTTTAAATATTCCAAGGTCGCTCTCTGGTTCTCAGAATCCTTATCTGCAACTGGAAATCCCCCAGTTATACTCCTGTAACAGTTTCAAAAGCTCCCTCTAGAGGGAAACAGTCTCCACTTGTATCAGTTCTTTCAGGCACAACTCAAGCATTGAAGAGACATTTTCAGTTACTTTTCCTCTTTTTTAAAGGCAGAAAAGGACAATGGAAACAGTATTTTACTCTTATTTAGTTAGCTGTCAAATCCGTTCTGTCAAAAGCACTCTCTCCAAACGTCATCTGGCAGCCCATTCCCAGGTTCAGAGCAGTGGTAATTTGATCTTTTCACTCTCTCCTGCAGGCTCACTGGATCCAAAATTTCCCCCTCTTCTCCTGCTTCCAAGGGGGGTTTTGTATTTTAAACCGGTAGAAATTTGATCCTTTGCCAAAAGCTTTCAAAGGCTTTAACTTGTAACGTCTTTGCTTCAGTCTATTTACAAAAACGGGAGGCAGACTTCCTGTTTATAACCTTCCTGTTTCAGTGCCGAATTAAAGTATTTAAAAATCCAATTTTCCGTTTTACTCACGAGTAGTTTTTTAAAATCCAATTGTCCACAGGAAAAAGTCAGCGCTCTCCGGCAACAGCAATGCGGCTTCACTCCATGAAAGAAGCAGTCGATTCAAAGCACCGCGCCACTCACCCCACGTCGCTCCGGATCCCCAAAACAGGGTTTCCCCGTGAGTAGGGGAGGCGCAAAAGGTGCCAGCCGAATCCCAGGTTCACAAACTTCTCCCGCTTGTGATTTCAACGGGTCTCCACCTTCGCTGTGGGGGTCAGACCCTGTTTTTCACGGAGCAAGTTCCTCCCGATCGGAGGAATTCAGCCATTGCCAGAGGCGCCTCCCCGGAGGTCTAGCCACAACTATCTCAGGCTGATTTTTGCCTGTGCGTTATAGAGAGATGTGAGAGAGCTGTGTTGATGGCTTTCACTGAACAGATCTCATCTGTGGATGAGTGCATTTTCCTGAAAGATTAATTCCAGACAAAAGGCCTTAAGAGAACAGTTTCTGCTTGCCTATACATCTCACCTACCACACTTCTGATGTGCTGCTATGGGGAGTAGGGAAAACCGCCCACTTCCATGCAGCAGAACCAGGTGTAGAAATGGTGAGACGCTCAACTTAAAATTCTCCCATTGGAGTAACTAGCGTGTTCCCACTGCTGTGTTCATGGAATCTTCTGGAGCATGCATTGACACTGCTTCTTCTTCCCAGTGTCCATCTGTTCAGGGAATGAGAAGAGGAGCTGTAGTAAGATGAACTGATTTTCTGTGCATGTGGGATCATTGCAGGACATGTTGGTTCCAGAAAACAACAAGACAGTTTATTTTTATTAATTATTTGTTTGCAATTATATCCCACTTTTTGTCCAAGGAGCTTAAATGGCAGTTTCCCAGCCATCCCTGTTTTATCTGCACCACAACCCAGTGAGATAGGTTAAACTAAAAGGCCCAGGGTCGCCCAGTGAGTTCTGTGGAGGAGCGGGAATAGAACCTACCGCCCAAATTTCTTACTATAATGGCAGACTGCAAGCCAGCAGGCTCACTCTTAAGACAGGGCCATGGCTGTGACCTTATAATACAAAGTGTGTGACTGCAATAATAGCCATTGTTTTCACATATGAAATGCATGGTGTTGGGGCATGGAGACAATTGCCCTTATGCTGAGGTGATTCGTGATCATAAACGTCACGCTCGCTTCCCCCTCCCCCCCTTGCTCATTCATTCAGACCATTTCTGCCCCGTCAGGGTTTGTTTAGCCACACCTTGGTTGGCTGTGGATGAAAACAGTCAGGAGCAAATAAAGTTCAAGGCAACTGCTGCTGGGGTCACTATTTACTGTTTGGCTTCCTGTGTATAAAAACCATGCCATGCCTACCTTGTTGTCAGGAATACTCGTTTCTGTTTTCTCATTATATTTCCGCATTGATCAGTTCTCCAAACGGCAGAAGATCCCAGGCTGAGCACTCTCTTAGGAAGCTGTTATGGCTGCTCGAGGGCCGTTTGAGATGGGTGGCAAATGTTGCAGCGGCTCAGTTTCTCCCCAGAGCATCCTCTACCAAATCCTTAACAATGAAGAGCGATGGAAGACTGAAGGGAACCCCCAGTGTTTCCCCCTCCCCTTTCTGTTTCCAAATATTGGCTGCCCCTGTGAGGTAAACCGAAGAGTCATCCTGAAAATACCGGGCATCACCTGCAACAGAGCATCGGAAGTGCTTCTGAAAACTATCACGTTCATAAGAAAGCTGCCTTCTTTTTTCCAGTTGCCCCTGGAAGACCAGATCCTCTTGATACGACAGGGCTGGGCACCCCTCTTCCTACTGGGTCTGGCTCAAGAACGGGTGGATTTTGAACTCTTAGAGACCTCAGTCCCCAGCCTCTTGAAAGCAGTCCTCCTTAATCAGTCTCCGGCAGGTGAATACAAACTGGAGAACTCTCCTTTGGGAGCATCACTAGCAGAAGTTCAGAAGATTAAGGATTTCCTGGGAAAGTTCTGGAACGCAGACATTTGTGCAAAAGAATATGCCTATCTTAAAGGAATTGTTCTATTTAATCCTGGTAAGTCTCGTCCAGGTATTTTCAAAGGCTGCAGTCCTGCCCTCAGTTCCTTGAGCATTGCTCCTATTAATACCCAAGGGACTTAACAGCTTGACTCGACTTACTTAATGACAGGATTGCACCCTAAAACTGCACAGTTCAGGGTGCAGAAATAAATTTAAAAGTTGCTTAAGAGGAAGGAATTTTTAATTGGGTATTTACATGTTTTCAAAAATCCATTTTTAAACCTTTCTGACTTTCAAACTACAATATACTTTTTTTTTAAAAAAAGTATGTATTATATATAATACACATGCAGGTGTTGTGGGTGTATGGGAGCTAAAATATCCAAATTTACTTTACCGCTTAAAACTTTAGGCTCTAGTCTAATGTGAGGGAGATGTATGCAGGGGCAATACTGGACAATGCACAATGTAAATGTGATATTACATTACTATAAGTCAGGGGTGTGGAATCTGTGGTCTTCCTGATGTGGATTGCAACTCACATCAGCCCCATCCAATTTAGACAATTGTAAGGGATAATGGGAGCTGTAGTCCAACAATTTATGAAGGGACACAGGTTCCTGTTTCCAGCTGGAAGGGCTGCTGCAATGTAGGGAGCCAATTACTACAAAAATGTGGAATGACTAACAGACCCCTCAAAAGAGATCTTAAGAGGATGGAGTCATTAGTGACAAGAGCATGGGGCACTAAATATAATTAAAGGTTCATTCATGAAACATTACCGTGGGCTTTTGAGTAAACGCCTAACTGCAGTGGTAACCAGCTGAAAAACTTTATGGCATTCTGTATTTAGAAAGAAGTTGTCATCTGCTCGATTTCGTTCACCTTATTTATTTTTAAGCCAGCTTTTTGGAGTCAATCCCTCACAAGGCTGTTTTCAATACTGTGTATCAAAACATGAGTTATATAAATCAAAATATCTAACCTATAAAACAAACAGCAGGAATCCAAAATGAGGGACTAAAAAAGAAAAACACTGAACCCAGCATAAGATCAAAATGGACCACACTCCCAGCGAACATGCAATAAATGGCATTGCCATAGCTCTTCACACTTTCCTGCTCTCAGAACCAACACAACGAGAAGATGCATTTATTTCCCTTATTTCCTTATTTCTAATTTTACAGACCTCCACGACTTAAAATGCCACCATTATGTCCAGGCCCTTCAACAGGAAGCTCAGCATACTCTGATAGAGTTTGTCTCAATGACTCATAGCAGAAGCAGGAGGAGATATGCTTGGATGATGGAATTGCTTGGTTTTCTGAGGACCTTCAGTCCAGATACCATTGGAGAACTCTTCTTCAAACCCATCTTGGGTGATGTTGACTTAAACACCTTACTTCTGGAAACACTTTACACCAAACAGGACCTTATTTGACATCTGATGAGACATTACAGAAGACCAGGACTATCATCAAAAGGGGCAAGTTCCCCAGAACAATAGGAAACCTTGCTTTCTGTGCACTGGAATCTGTCTCCACCCCTGTGGAGAACCCCACCACACTGTAGGACTCTCCTCTGTTTTGTCTATTTCCTGTTTCTTTGGTGATCTGCATTAATATATATATTTCACCAGTCATCCATATGCTATGGAGGCCAGCATTCTATTGCCCTTTTACCGATAATCTCCACCAGATAATGACTTTCCTCCCTCTTATTGTTGCATTATACTTGTTTTTATTAACGCTTTGCCACCCATGTATTTCCAGACATTTAATGGTTCAGCACAGGACAAAACAGCCCAGACGTCACTATGATGTAAAATAAAGTATGCTTTATTTAAGTTTGTTCTTAATATAAGCAGTGATGCTTGCATTTGCTGTTAATTTTGAAATTAGGTGGCTCAGTTAATTTTGTTACCAATACTTTTGATACTATACAGTTATGGTCACTTTAAATCAGGCATGGTCAAACTTGGCCTTCCAGCTGTTTTGGGACTACAAGTCCCATCATCTCTGACCACTGGTCCTGTTACCTAGGGATGATGGGAGTTGTAGTTCCAAAAGAGCTGGAGGGCCAAGTTTGGCCATGCCTGCTAAATGGTATATCCTGTGCAATGTATGGATTTTTGTCACTTTACAAATGTGGCTGTGTGAGCTTTGAGTCCCCCCTCCCACCCAAGCCTAAGCCAATTACTCTATAAAGCACCTTTCTCCAGTTAACACATAATAGATGGCTCACAGGTCAACACATGCATTCTTTAGACAAGTCTAGGGCCTCCATCTTCTGAAGTATCTCAGGCTTCCCCCAGAACCACTGCCACAGTCTCTCACCTGGTGCCACAACTGGTGTTGGCTCAGGTTCCCAGCGACCCTGCCCTCACTTAGCTGTAGCTCTCTCTTAAAGGCTGTTTCCAGAGTCTTTTCCTTGCAGTCTTTTTTCCAGCTCTTAACCTGTGACCTCTATGTTTGTGAGCATGGGTATGTAAGTCCTTGCTGAGCAGCATTAGGTTTTAAGTTGTTTCTACATGCCGGTTTGTCTTTTAATTGTTAATTAAGTAGGCTTTATGACAGTACATTCAGGTCTTCGATGTCTTGAAAGGGATGTTGCTGCAACTTTACAATGCATTTAGTATAACCTGAGCTTTATGTGTGCACTTTGAATTCCACCTCTATATAATTTGCCCTTTATTTTTCACATACCAACACCGGTATGCAAGTTTTTGGTTAACACTACCTTGTCTTTGTTCACACATTTAAAAAATGCAGCTTGATGGTTGCAAAATTGCTGGCTGTTTTCTTTTAATGCATTCTAATCGAGATAAGACTGGATTTAAATATTCAGGAAAGCTAAATGCATATTGAAACAAATGGTCAGTGTATACTACTCCACCAAAAACAGGGAGGACTTGTCCACTCCACTAGTAACAACACAAAAGCATGTAGTAGTCGTAGTAGCAACAGCAGCAACAACAACAACAATAACAATAATAATTTTATTATTTGTACTCTGCCCATCTGACTGAGGTGCCCCAACCACTCTGGGCAGCTTCCAACAATATAAAAGCATAATAAAACATCAAACACCTAAAACTTCCCTATATAGGGCTGCCTTCAGACGTCTTCTAAAAGTTGTAGTTACAGTGGTACCTCAGGTTAAGTACTTAATTCGTTCCGGAGGTCCATTCTTAACCTGAAACTGTTCTTAACCTTGAAGCACCACTTTAGCTAATGGGGCCTCCTGCTGCCGCCACGCCGCTAGAGCACGATTTCTGTTCTCACCCTGAAGCAAAGTTCTTAACCTGAGGTACTATTTCTGGGTTAGCGGAGTCTGTAACCTGAAGCGTATGTAACCTGAAGCGTATGTAACCTGAAGCGTATGTAACCCGAGGTACCACTGTATTTACCTTCTTGAAATCTGATGGGAAGGAGGGTGCCACTACTGAGAAGGCCCTCTGTCTGGTTCCCTGTAACTTTACTTCTTGCAGTGAAGTTTACTATTCCACTTGTAATAGTTAGATGTATAACACACTCCTATGTATGTTTATGTGGAAGTAAGACCCAATGAATTTGTCTGAAGGATTGCAACCTGGATGCATCATTTTCAGGATGGCTCAGTACGGAATATCATTATGCCGGAATACCAATCAGTAAAGGAAGCAAGCGGGAATCCTTCAATGCATAAGCAGCTGGGGAATGGTTAGAGCAGAAGGGAGGGAGTCCAACAGCAGATGGAGCCAAAACCAATGACAGGAAGAGCCAAGTACTTGTAGTTTTGCCTCCTTTGTCCCCACCAGGTATGTGGGGTTAGGACTGCAGTCTTAGAAGGCAACCTTGCAGCTTTTACTTCCTCTCACACACTCTCTTATGATGAAAATTAACATAATTTGATTTTCATTCCGCAAGGATGAAGAACAAGTGGAACCAGGCTTTCCAAGGGTGGAGAAACAAGCAACTAAATAGTGGTGCTCAATTTGACCTTTCTGTGAACAGAACAGGAGTTGTTTGCTGCAAATTTCAGCCAGAAGTCCATTCAGTAGAGAAAACGTAGAATACACATGGGTTGGGAAGTTTGGAAGAAAAGCAGGGTGGGCTTAAAGCTTTAGAAGGAACTGTCAAGTATTTCCTAGAAATTCTTCAGGGGATGGAAAGCAATGGTACAAAATCAAATGCAAGCTTTGGTCTGCTGCTGCAGGGTTACAATTAAATCCAAGGTAATGAACCTATTAAGGAACATTTATTTAAAAGCTATTCAAGATCTTGAACTTAAACATAAAAAACTGGTTCAGCTAGAATATATGCCAAGCTAGAGCAGCATAGATGGGAACTGGATGCTGTGGAATCTCATTATGTGGCCAAGTCACTCCACTTTGTGAAACCAAAGTTCAGTGCTCTAAACTCTTAGCAAATGCGTTAAAGGGGGAGAAAAAGAAGCAATCACATGTGTTCTGTTTGAGATAAACTAACGGCTCAGAAACCTAGGACGGTAAAAATAATAAACAAATGATTCTGACGCTATTACTTGAACCTATATCAGTCAAAGTAACTGTTACATAGGGCTTTTTTCCAGGGGGAACTCAATTCCGGCACCTCTCAGGTTGGTGCCATTGGCATTCTAAGAGAAAAGGGGAGGCATTCATGGTGAGTTCTGGCGCCTCTTTTTCTAGAAAAATAGCACTGCTGTTACAGAACAATATGAATCAATATTTGGATAATCTGCATTTGAAACCACTTAAAGAAGAACACACAAAGTTATCAAATACAGCATTTATACTGAAGAAGAAATCAGTTATCAACATTGGCAAGCTAAAGCATGGCAACACACCAGGCCCAGACTGCTTTGGCAGTCCTTTTTATAACAGGGTTGCCATATTTCAAAAAGTGAAAATCTGGACACAAAAGTTGAGGATTTTCCTGGACATTAAACCCTTTCCCACCTGGATGCTGTTTACAAATTCAAGAGTGCCTAATACCTTATTTGAATATTTTGTTTAATACTATCCGGAATGGGGGAAGAATCTCAGATACTTGGAATATCCCATGTGCGATCTGAAGGAAGTGGGATCCTATCACCTGATTTCCTTTTTTCACTCATGCTCCTCAAACACGACCCTCCAGATGTTTTTGGCTTACAACTCCCATGATCCTTAGCTATCAGGACCAGTGGTCAAGGATGATGGGAATTGTAGTCTCAAAACATCTGGAGGGCTGAGTTTGAGGAAGTCTGCTCTTCACAATCCCCCTGGAGCCCTGGCTGTAGCATTAAGATATAATTCCTTCATTAAAGGATAGCAGGGAGAGGGCAAACAACATATGTGGACAATATTATTTGTATGACACGTAATCCCAAAGGGACAATCCCTGCATTGAGGACTGAATTATCAGTTTTTGAGAAAGTATAGCTGGACTATGTTCTAACTGGGATAAATCGTTTTTGTATTGTAATGTCAATTCAAATACACAACTGGAACTTTAAAAAGTTAACATCTTGATACGTTGTAAAGATTTCCATTACTTAAGGATGCAGATCCCTTGAAATTTAAATACATCACATTATTTGAATTTTATTCCTTTAGTCAAAAAGATTATGTGTAATTTGGGCAGATGGAGGTAGCTTAATATATCTATTTTGGGCTGAATTGCATCAGTAAATATGATGATAGTTCCTACATTCCTACATCTGTTCCAAGTGCTTCCTCTCTCTCTCTCCATCCTACCTCTCTTAAGAATTGGCAAAGAATGATTAAAAATTTTGTATTTCAGATGAAGAGAACAAGATTAGCTCTGAAAAATTGTTGTAGGAGGCCAGATGAAGGAGGATGGGGACGTCCACATTTGATGCTATATTGCAAAGCATTTCAAATAAGATAACACTGTTTTATTATTGACAAAGTTGACAAAAATGGATTTTACATGGACAGAAGTGATGGGTATTGCCATTTTACAAATGGACTCCTACAGTGCTGCATTAAATTCATAATCCATATACTCTGCCCTATCCTATTCCTACAGCTGTTTCTATCATCCCTGATCATTGGTAATTGAAGCTGAGGGGGGCTTAGAGTTCAGCCACACCTGGAGGCCTACAGGCTCCCCATCCTTGCTTTAGTGTGCCCTAGTACATCGCTAGATAACTAAAGCAAGGTTTCTACTTATTGCTGTTCCTTATTTTTCTGTGCCATCTTGTGGGTTGTCAGAGAATTGCAACATGAACGATGCACTTTACAGACCACATTGCAATGGGCATTCAAGCGAAACTCATAAGATGTAAATAAGATGCTGTAATGTTAGTGGCTGGTGCCCATCGAGACTGGTAGGGTGGAAGGCAGGGAGACCAACTGTAGGTAGAACCAGAGACAATGAATTCTAATTTTGTCCCCCTCCTCTTCCTTGCTGAGTTCTACATATGCAACCCTGGAACTAAGAAGGGGGAAGCTGACAGGCAGCGCCACCCTATGAACTGGTTGCGAGGCAGGCAAGTGGAGGATGGCAGAGGGCAGACTACAGTTGAGGGAAATTGTTTGGTCCTGTTCATGGCGGTGTGGCTGTGGATTGAAGGAGTACAGAGTGCATCATGGGCCACCCCTGTGCTGCTCTTGTCCGACACCCACCTTGTTTCAGCAGGCACAATGATTCCATGGATGGAATGTTCTGCAGGTGTCCCTCTCATGGTGGCGCCATATTTGGTGTTCTAAGGATATATCAGGGCTTCCATCAACTCACCTTGACATATGGAAAATATTTGCATTTTTCATTAATTCAAATAAGCATGCTTAAGAAATGATTAAGGTGAGTCTCGATTCAGGTGCTGCAATTTGATGACAGCATCTTTTTGTATGCAACGCATATGCTCTATCACTCACCCTTCCACCTTGCCCTAGCAGGGGATTTCTAACGTGTTTGACAACTAGCAAATAAATGAATGAATGCAATCTCCCTCAAGAAATAAGACCTGACCTGAGAAAGTTTATGAACTTTGCTTCTATCTTTATTTGGGTGTGTGTGTCCTGAATGTGTCCATGGTTGTTGTTGTTTTTATCCTTGCAGGTGAGGGAGAGCACAAAATGGCAGGAAGTGCCGTTTCCGTACAACTCTGCAGTTTCAAAAGTCAAATCGCTGCCAAGATTCCCTTTATATCACACGCGAACCTCCCAATTTCCTCTTAGCACCTAATCCACACCAATACTTTGCGCATGCGTCTTACAACGCCAATTCCCCCCACCTTCCAGAGCAGTGTCTCGCTCGGTATTTTTAAACAAAACCCCACCGCCCCAGCAGGGAGGGTTCTGATTGGCCCGTCCCCCGCTAGCAAAGCTGCCAATGAGAATGTCCGGTGCGGTCCCCGCCTGCGCTTCTCAGGGTCGGCGTAGCGAGACCACGGGCGCGCGCGCGCGTTCCTCGTCAGCAGCCGACATGGCGCTCGCTGGGCTCGCGCTGCGCGGCGCTGCTGCGGCGGCGTCGAGACCTCGGCCGCGGCTACGTTTCGCGACGGGGCCTCTGAGCCGCAGGCACGCGGCGCATTTCACTTTCCAGCCGGACCCAGAGCCCACCCAGTATGGTGAGAGCTTCCGTCCTCCTCACTCGCTCCTGAGTAGAAGCGAGCCGCCCTCGCTTTCCCGTCCACGCGCCCGGCGGACTGAGGCGGCGCAAAGCTGAGGCGGTAGAATGGACTGCACCATTTAAGGAGGGGGGAAAAGAAAAAAAGATACTTTCACACACCCCACCGGATGCCGTTACTCAAAAACCGCGCACCAGGCGCTAGGCCCTTTTTCTAAGTCCCGCGCCTTTTATTTCTGAAGAATCTTTTACGTGCAGCCGAATTTTAAAAAGGCACCTTCCACCCCCCCTCGTCCCCTTAAAGTGGTGCAGTCCGTTCTCCCTTCTCATTCCCGCTTGGTTCCGCTGTCCTATGGAGACTCAGCCTCATGTTGCTGCTGGGGAGGGTGAAGGCTTGGAGCTAGAGGGCGATCGCTTTGTGAATGGGGGGCAGAAATAAATCAGACTTGTTTACTCTCCCCCCCCCTTGCGTGGTGGTGCTCGCGTTATTAAAATTCAGGTTGCCCACCTCATTGTGGTACTGCAGAGCAGCAAGGCAGCCAGGTGCCAAAGAGGACAGAAGGACACTGGCAGTTTTTTTTAGCAGTTATGGCAGAAATTTGGGAGGCTTGCACCCAGCTGGTAGTTTGCTGTAGTTCTTTGCATCTGGTCACATTCACTTAATGTTGGAGTAGGGTTTTTCTCCTTCATCCCCTTGAACGTGGAACTCCCAAAACAAGGCGTCCTGTAAATATTGATTCTAGGGAGTGAGAGATGTTACTGACAAACACACACTCCTGTGGGTAGGAGTGACAGTAAAAATCATGAAAACCGCCTCCCATACACACAGGCGTACAGTGGTACCTCAGTTTACGAACAGTCCTGTTTACAAACTATTAGGTTTACGAACTCCACAAAACCGGAAGTAGTGTCCTAGTTTGCGAATTTTATCTTGGACTACGAATGAAAGCCGAACAGTGAAAGGGCACCGGTGGAGGGAGGCCTCATTAGGGAAAGCGCACCTCAGTTTAAGAACGGTTTTGGTTTAAGAACGGACTTCCGGAATGGATTAAGTTCGTAAACCGAGGTACCACTGTATATGTAAACGATGGTACTACTAGAACTCTGTGACACCAGCCTGCCATGATTTATCTGTACAGAAGATTTTTAAAACTCAAAAGTTTACATACGCTGAAATGAATTCTTGGAGATGTGACCTGTGCTACTTTATAGTTCGTACATGAGGTCACTTCTTGAAGAGAAATTGCGTCAGTCAGGCTTCAGAACTATAACGATTTTGTACTTTAGGGTGCAGAGATAGACAGTTACACCTGTTAAGTAATTCCACTTCCTTGCTTCCTAAATACCATTGAACAGCTGGCGGTGGAAGAATGCTAAAAGGATAGCCTATTATGAGTGCATCCAAAAAAGTGTGTGTGTGTGTCTGTGTGTGTGTATATATATGTGTATATATATATATATATATATATATATATAAAAAATGTTACATAATGTCTACATTCACATGAACAAAGGCAAACAATTGGGTACTAGAAGAGCTGTTGTAGGGCATGGTATCGACATATAGTACCTCAGTGCAGAAAAATGACCCCAGTGATTTCTGCTATAAATTATGCTGATGGCCTATTATCTTCATTGGTTTGCTAGTTTATTGTAAGTCTCGGTACTGACCCCGATGTGATATAACTATGCTGTGCACAAGGCTTGACTACTTCTGTGTATGGTTAGGTGAGAACATTAGGGGTGGAGACATTTCATTATTCCAAATACCTGCTTTATCTGTTTCTTATATTTCAATAAGAAACAGGAATAGCTCATTTCAATTCTGTACAATATTTTCCACAGTATTTTTTCTAGTTGATAATAATAGGATTTACAATTCGGTTTTCCATAAGGTCCCAGAGTGGAGTATATACATTTTAATGTTACAATTAAAATAATTAGATAAAATTTCAATTGAAATAGTGCAAAACCAGTTCAAACCAGCAACATCCAAATATTACAGTACCGCAGAGGGGAATTAGCACTATGTATTATTCAGTCATCCCCCATTCCCCATCTTAAGCTGTTACTGAAAAGTACAATGATTAAAAAACATAATCCTATCCATGTTTACTCAGATTTAATTTTACCTATTTAATTAATTGTAGCTTACTCCAATGTAAGTGGGGTTAGGATTGCAACCTTAGTATGTAGGCAAAGGTATTCAACAAAACTGAGCCCCCCAAAGATTATTCATGGTGAATGTGTCTTAAAATTTCATTATTCACCTTTTGGATTAAATAGCAAAAGCAGAATAGCAGAAGCTATTTAATGTACAAGAAAGACAATTAACTATTGATGAGTGGTGAACATTTCATACTTGATGTGTTTCATTTGACCTTATGAAGTGCTCAACTACAATCAATAGCACAGAAAGTGATAGCTAACAAGAAATCTTAACCCTTATTGCATGGACCCTTTATGAAGTTATAGGTAGTGAAATGAACTGTGAATAGCTGAAGGCACTGGGGTCATGGAAAATCTTGTAGATTGGAAATATATCATGCTGTCTCTGTGGATTGGAACCCAATATTTCAGGTATTTGTATTTAACCGTTGTCTTGTCTAACTTATTGGTCTCTTTGCACAGGCCAGACACAGAAAATGAACCTTTTCCAGTCCATTACAAGTGCTTTGGATAATGCCTTGTCGAAAGATCCAACAGCAGGTATAGTTTTATATCTAAAATTATGTCTATGGAGGTTCTTTTGTTAGAAGCCCTTTTTATTGAATACACACTCTTAAACTAAATCTGAATTAAGGTAAAACTTGTATGTAAATACGAATTAATTTGAGATTTATGTAGCACAAGAGCATAGTAGAATTCTAAAAAAATTAAGCAGTGACTTTGATCTGTTAGAAACTATTCAGAACCACGATATGGTAATAAGTTTGATAGGACCAGCCATAATCTCACAAAGTGAGCAATAGGCCTGGTGGTAGCTATACATCCTGCTACTGTGCAGCCAGAGTTTTGATTATATTGAATGATATAATGCAAAATATGCAAAGGGTCAGGTTGAACTTGAGATTCCTTTTAATTACTAATCATTATTAACTAAGAATCATTTTGTATTCTTGAGCAATTATTTACTTAATTCCTTGTTGTACACTTGCAGTAATATTTGGTGAAGATGTATCCTTTGGGGGAGTCTTTAGGTGCACTCTTGGCTTGAGAGACAAATATGGTGAGTTTACAACTTATATGATTCATTTGCCAGATCGTTGTTTCTCTTCCTGTTCACATTAACTATTATATCAACTATATATACCGTATTTTTCGCTCTATAAGACGCACTTTTCCCCTCCTAAAAAGTAAGGGGAAATGTGTGTGCGTCTTATGGAGCGAATGCAGGCTGCGCAGCTATCCCTGAAGCCAGGAGAGCGAGAGGGATTGGTGCGCACCTGGCTTCAGGGATAGCCACGAAAAGCCTACTGAGTGCAGCGCCCCTTCCATTTCTCCTCCCGCTTTGCTTGGGAGGCGCTGCGCAGAGAGGGAGAGAATTTTTTTTTTCTTGTTCTCCTCCTCTAAAACTAGGTGCGTCTTATGGTCGGGTGCGTCTTATAGAGCGAAAAATACGGTGTATATATATATATATATATATATATATATATATATATATATATATAGAGAGAGAGAGAGAGAGAGAGGTTATATGTTTGATTCCACTTGAGAAATTGTTATTTCCTTCTTGTAAAGGTGATCAGAGCAGCCAATGCAGGCAGCTATTTCCAAAGTTTAAAAATGGGCTAACAGCACAGTCCTATAATGTCTATTTAGAAGTAAGCCTGGTGGAGGTAAGAAGGATTTACTTCTAGGAAAGTGGGTCCTGTATAGAATTACAGCCTACTTCACCTTGGTTTTGAAGGTTAATAAAACTGAATGATTTTTAGGCTCTTTGACAGTTATGCAGGATGTGCAGAACTATTAATATTCTGCACCAAGGAATCCCATATTTAGCATTTTAAAATATAGCAAATTTTCATTTAATGTCAAGCTTTGTTAGAACAGTGCATTCATTTGTGCTAGATTGTGCTTCTGACACGAGATGGTTTTATTTGGGGTCTGTGGTATTTGCTGATAGAGCTCAGCAATTCAATTTGCCCAACAAGGGGGAAAGACTGCAGTTGCAAGAAACAACATTTTACATGTTGATGTATCAAGAACTACTATAACATTTTGCAAATGAAACAAGTAGGTTAAGATTTGTTATTAATGACGTCTGACGTGGGGTGGTTTTTTATGTTGTGGTATGTGGGGAAATAGAGATCTGCACACTTCTATTTTAAACTGGCTTTAGATCTACCAGTGAAACGCACTGTGTGGGAAACTTACTCTGGTTGCTGCTAGTGAGAACATGGCTAGTAGTGTGCATTCCACTGCACTTTTGGCAGGGGCTTCTGGGACAGCACATCTCCTTTCACACTGTTACAGCCCAGTGGAACCTCTCCCAATCCTAACCCCTGCCAGCAACATGGATTAGTGGTTAGGGTTGCTCTGATCACAAATATATTGCAACTGCAACATTAATAAACAGTTACTAGTGTAGGTGTTACTTTCCTTACCCTTACACAAGTTTCTTTGTCTGCATATTAGTAGTATATATTGTAACAATGGCCCCTTTTAACAGTAGGTATATTTGTAGCTATGCTTGCATAAAGCAAAAGTGATTCATATGGTAACATTTCATAAATATATTAAACTATGTTTTTAGGTGTCCACTTACACATGATACATTAAATGTTTATAGATGAGTAAATTTAGCTTGGGTTTGATAAGAAACCACACCAAATAAAATATTGAACATATTTCAAAACAAACAAAAGTTACTGGAGAAAAGCTCTGTGACTTCAGACTTTCCCATCATTGTTCTCTGACATCACTACTTCTGACAGTACAGTGGTGCCCCGCAAGACGAATGCCTCGCAAGACGGAAAACCCGCTAGACGAAAGGGTTTTCCGTTTTGGAGGTGCTTCGCAAAACGAATTTCCTATGGGCTTGCTTCGCAAGATGAAAATGTCTTGCGAGTTCCTGCGGGTTTTTTTCCTTCCCCCCCCTTTTTCCCAAGCCGCTAAGCCGCTTATCAGCTGATCCTAAGCCGCTAAGCCGCTTAACAGCTGATCCGCTAAGCCGCTTATCAGCTGATCCGCTAAGCCGCTTAACAGCTGATCCGCTAAGCCGCTTATCAGCTAATCCGCTAAGCCGCTAAACCGCTTATCAGCTGATCCGCTAAGCCCGCTAAGCCGCTAATAGCGCTAATCCGCTAAGCCGCTAATGGGCTTGCTTCGCAAGACGAAAAAACCGCAAGACGAAGAGACTCGCGGAACGGATTCTTTTCGTCTTGCGAGGCACCACTGTAGCTTTTAGTAAAAAAAGTTATTGTCACTTTGTAGGCTCCTGAATTCCACTAAGTAGCTTGTACTCTGAGAAGTATCTTTTGCATCTGCGCATCTACCCTATATTCTTATTTTAAAAGGTTTATTAAGAGAAACTCTTATTTTTGTAGGTAAAGACAGAGTGTTCAATACTCCTTTATGCGAACAAGGAATTGTAGGATTTGGCATTGGAGTTGCAGTAACTGGTGCTACAGCCATTGCAGAAATTCAGTTTGCTGACTATATCTACCCTGCCTTTGATCAGGTTGGTGCATAATCTAAGATGCTGAAAATAAGAATAACAGTTTATTGTTATTTTTCCTTAAAGTAATGAAAAGCTGAACAGAAATGGGATTGGACATGAGGGAGGCTGAAGCAGAATGTCAATATGACTGCACTAGGTGGGGATGCTGATAAGGTTTTGGCACTTTGCATGTTACATGAAGCACCAAAATTGTATGTGTGAATGCAGTGGTGCCTGTGCTTGCTCTTCATCCTTCTAACATGCAAGAAGAAGAAGAAAATTTACAGCTCTCCTGTGGGCAGATAGTACGCTTGTATCTCCTTAGAGGGGAAATGTATGAGTCCCCTTGCAGACATTTCAAAAAGTGGTGCAAAGTAGAGGTGTGAATGCAATTTTGGTGCTACTTCTTGCTGCTGCTTGTAATGTGAGGCAGCCCTCAGTGAAAAAGTATTGGAGCTAGGCTAAAAACTGAACATTTGTATTTAGCTTTGACTTTGGCTGTTGCATACTTGATAAAATGTACTTTGTTACAGAAATAATAAAGAGCAACACATAAGGGTAATTTGTAGGAATCAGATACTAGAAATCTGTGTTACATCTGTAGCTGGCTCAAGGAAGTGTGTTGCAAAGCAAAGAAAATGATGTAAAAATTTATTAGCATTTGGTTTTAAGATTTGGGGTGTCTGTTCCTGCTTAATATTGTACAATGGAACATGAACGATCAAAATGCATAGTATGTGTGTGCCTGAGTACATTCAAGATTAATTAAATAAATGTATCTTCCCCTCAGATTGTTAATGAGGCGGCAAAGTATCGGTATCGCTCTGGAAATCTCTTTGATTGTGGAAGCCTCACTATAAGAGCCCCTTGGGGTTGTGTGGGTCATGGTGCATTATATCACTCTCAAAGCCCTGAAGCATTTTTTGCTCATTGTCCAGGACTAAAGGTATGGTAATTGGATAAATGGATTTTATTATAATTGGTGTGGATTTACCATTATGGTTAACTATTCCTCATGGGAGGCTCTCTGTGACTTAAGCAATTGCCATGTTACCTTGTGAATGAATATGGTGATGTTTGCAGATGGACTCTGTAGATTCCCTTTTCTGTTAACATGTTTTGACATGTTAACTAATTTTTCACATGGTTCCTTTATGTATAAGGATCACTACTAATGTGGTAGCAGAGTACTGTGAGGACTTCACCACCCCAGAATTAAATGCTAAAATTAAATTAAAACCAAACATTTGAATTGAGCTTGAGTCTTCATTGAAGAACGAAGTGCTACGCTATCAAATATGCATTAAAAAGTTGCAGCTCACAGTCAGTGGACTTGTGTATTGCAGTTATTGCTGGAATGTATCACTTCAGTCTGAAAGTAGGGGATCACTTCTTTGTATGATTAAGCTGTTTATACTTCACACAAAAACGAGCATGGTTTAGAGAAGAACTTACGAAATCTCTTGGGAAATCTTTAGGAACTATCAGCTGGGAACCTTTTGCCAGCATGGCTACTTGAGTAGAGTCCCTTTATTACTCTCAGGTTTGAAGAGTGATGATTAGAGCTGCCTTTAATAAACTCGTAACAGATCAAATACCAGTGTACTTGAATCAAACAGAATTGTCAGAAGACAATTATACTGTCAGTCGAATGGTATTGCTTTTGAACAAGTGCCACAATCAGAATTTCAGTTGATATTTAGGGCAGACTGCATTGGCCTGAGTTTAGCTTCTGATGTGCCTTAGTGTTTTGCCCTCAATTTATTGGGGCAAGTAGCAGATAAAGTGTATAGGTACAGCAGTGTCACTGGATAATATTTTGAGGATTATATTCAAGCCTGTTCTAAAAGCAATGCAAGATAGGCATACAGTGATGTTTCAGTACTGTGCTTCTGAGGCTCTTTTTGTAAGTTTGTTCAATCTTGGTTTGTTCCACTGTAGTTTGTGCCACACCAGTTTTAATTGCTACTGAAGCAAGCCAGTTTAAAATGTAGCTTGAGCCATTAGTCTTCTTTGAAGAAAACCATAGAGAGACTGTTTGTGTTGTTGATTTGTATATACCTGATAACTACTCTGAACTCTGACCAGATGTAGATTTTTTTATTCTATAATGTGCTCATATTTCAGAAAAAAATGCACTGGATGCAGTGGTCACAGTAGAGAGCTGTAGGCTCTTTCAGGTATTTCTGAGCTAGTTTTGATGATTGAATAATGGTGGTTATTAAACTTTGAATAGTAATAGTAGTATAAGAAGGTGATAGGTATGCTACGTTGCTTCTGTAATTAGCCTCTTAATAAGCAAAGTATTTTGTTTTGTAGATTTTCTTATTCTATCTTTTTTCCAGGTTGTTGTTCCAAGAGGTCCTGTAGAAGCCAAAGGACTATTGCTATCATGCATAGAAGATAAAAACCCTTGTATATTCTTTGAACCTAAAATACTGTACAGAGCAGCAGGTAAAGGCTTTTATGCACAACATAAAAATAAGTGAATGAAGATGATGTTCTGTATAGGCATATAAGGAAGCATGGTCTATTTGAGCAGCCAGCTTAAATTACTCATTTCCTTATTTTGTTTATCGAACATTTGCTTGGATATGAAGAAATAGTTTATTTAAAGCATACTCCTGTGTGTTTATTCATATGAAAGAATACTACTAATAATGTCCCACTGTGTTGAGTCCTGTTGGTGGTGGTGCACAGATAGTTTGCTATTGTTTGTTTAAGATCTTTGAAAGAAAGATTTCCTGCCTGACAACTATGGATTTGCCTCCCTTATCTTATTAATAGGCTGAAGGTTGCCTGATCAGCTGGAAGGTAGCCTTTTATTAATGACTGAAGAATGAAATAGGACTATTTCACTGTTAAGGGTATTTTACTATAATAATGGCCCAGGGTATCTGTTTAAAGAGGTTTAAGTTGGCCATAGTAGTTTGAGCTTGTTTCAGACTTTATGAAATAGGATTATTTTCACTAATCATATTTAAGATTAGATTTCTCATTCAGCTATATCTGCAATTAATGGAAACATTCAATTTCTTTATCACAGCTGTCTTAGAAGAAGTGAGGTGAACAGTGAGCATAAGCTGCAACTTGCTGCGGCTCATCCTTATAACTCTAAACTATGGCTTAGTATTATATGTGAACTGGGCCTGTACCTGTTAAAGCGTTTGCTCGAGTGCTGAATCAATGTTCTCTTATTTATCAAAGGAACAATGCATTTAGTACAAACAGTCAAGAAAGAACTTGGGTCTTAATATATGTATCATGTGGGGGGAGGCTCTCAATTTTCAGTTAGGCTAGAAATGGAGGTTTTGGGCTATTTTCAAGGCAGACTATTCAGGTGTGATCCAGCTTCTTGCCCTGAATACATACACCTGTGGCTTTAGGTAGTCTTCCTGCTAGCATTTTTTTTAATGTTTGTTTTTACTCTAGTTTAATGCACCATCAAATCTAATGCTCCATCGAATCTAATGTGCACCTCAATTTTCAGAACCTTGAAACCCCAAAAAGTATTTGCTAGCAAATGTAAATGTGCCATCAAATCTAATGCGTGCCTTAATTTTCACACTGTAATTTGGCCAAAAAAGGTGAGCATTAGATTTGAGTAAATACAGTCATATACAAAAGAGTCGAATTTTTCACGTTTTCATGATGAAAGGGTAAAATAGTACATATTTCCTGTTGTTGAAAATATTGATGTGCCAAAAATAAGAGAGAGAAGGAAATAAGCTGTTTGTCTTTTTATTAGGTGCATAATTTATAATATTGGTGAAAAAATACACTTTTGTACCTTTGAACAAGGTTTTTAGTTTAATTTTTAGCAAGACTTGTCAGTGTGCATTGTCTTGTAAATATATTGATGCAGGAGGAAGCAATACAAAGTACTATGGTGAATACAGAAGTCAGTTATTTTAATAATAGCAACATTTTAAAACTGCTTTATTCAAAATATAAGAATTGTTTTAAACAAAACATAAATTTTACATAGAGGTGTTTGGTTTGTTTATTTTTAAACTATATTTGCTAGTGAATCAAGAGCACATAGTGGTAATTCATAGGAAACAATGAGTCACCTTGACATTATCAGGTTTAAGTATCTTGTGGAGAGAGTATTCTTATGGCTTATGACCTTTTCAGTTTCATTTAATTCTATCATATATGACATGAGTGGTGCAGAAATGATTTGCATCAGTGGTTGTTATAGTGACATGGCAGGTAAGATGGGAAAAACTAGCTTGTTTTTAATCAGCTTTTAAAATGCCCTGTCACAAAGACGTGTTTTTCTATTGCAATTAATTGTAAATAAAATCAAACACTAGCACTGCCAAATGCATGACTTTGGATTTATGAATATTCATAGAATGTTAGTTGGAGGAAGCTTTGCAGGTGAGAAATAATCATGCTAATAACAATTGACAATAATAAAAAGGAGCCCAGGGCAGTAAAGAACAAAGCTGCAAAACAATACAATTAAAAGTAAAATAAAAACATAATCTAAAGCACCTGAAAACCTTTTTTTTATAAAGCAGTCTTGTATCCTCACAGCTAATAATTACAAGTTTGATGTGGACAACATCTTTCAGTTATAAAATGCTTGAGTGAACAGGAACATTTTGAACTTTCTCTTGAATGTTAATAATGAGGAAGATAGGCACACATCACCGAGGAGGGCATTCTGCAACCGGAAGCTGCCATTAGTTCTGTGCAAAGGGTGATTAACTTAACAGTGCTGGGTTGAAAGGGACATTAAATGCTAATTAACTTGTCATTTCTGATATATCAACACAAGTTACTCACTCCATAGCTGCAGGATGTTCGTAAGGGGTTTCTGACCAAACATGACATAGAGCCAGGCGACTAAGCTGTCACTAGCGGGGAAAGGGGGCAATGTTTCCCAGGAAATGCAAATTTAGACTTAATCCAGTTACTGGTGGAAGATGTTTGCCAGAGGATGTCCTCCGAGCCAAACAAGAGCATATGCTTGCATTAGATATGGCAAAGGTTCTGAGGGCTAATGAGGCTTGTGGTCTATTAAAATAAGCCATTCCTTGCACAGGTACTGTACAGTTATTTCCGTGGGAGAAGATTTGGCTTAAACCACAGTTTTTTCTGATTCCTTTGCCATGGCACTGCACTCATACCTCAGAGTAAAGCTAACATAGTCACATCATTCCAGGGCATGTGCAAAGTTCCAGCTGAGCCAAGCATTTTGGTAATGCTAGATAACTGGTTCCATTGATTTTTATTGTTAATAAAGTTCTAATTTCCAGCTGAAATTAGACCTCATGTTACAATATCTATTTAAAAATCACAGGATTGTCATTATGCAAACTTTGGCCTTTGCAGTGGGAGACTTGGGTTCCAACAATTATAGCTACATGAAATTAATTGGATGGCTTTTGGTGAATCATACACTCTCAACCTAGCTTACCTAAGACCAGAGATTCTCAAAATTTCTAGCTCCAGGGTCGTCTTGAGATGGCTGAAAGTAACTGAAGCCCACAAGTCACAGTATGGTGGCAGATGGAGGCAGAGTGTTGCATAAACCCGAAATTACTGATATCATTTTCTATACGCTTCTGTCTAACCCATATTTGAAAACTATTATATCCTGTACCACAATGTTTTTCTTATGACAACGAGCACCACAGCCCAGCTCTCCTCAAGCTAAGTAATGAATATTTGCTTTGGAGGTATTGTGACCAGTGGTGGAGCTTCAGGCTCCAGCATCAGGGAACGGAGAGCAGGCGGGGACGGGGCGCCCAGCGCGGGTGGGGGGGGGGCCCAGCCGTGATGGCACCCTGCCAATTTCCCCATTTTTACCCTGAGTGCTTCTTACATTTAGGCATTTCCTGTAAATCCTTCTCCCATTCTCCTTTCATACTTGTACCATTCTGCTCCCCACCTTCAAATTGCCGGTTTCTGGAAGTAAGCATAGATTATGCTGTATTGAACTTGTTTGTAGATCTTGAAATCACAACAACAATTTGTGGTCATGGGGAAGGGGACGTACGCAGGCCTGGGACTTGCTGTGGCTTGTTCACGTGATGTCTGAATGTGGCAACTATCTACAAACTTATTAACTTATCTCTGCAGTCATGTGGCTTAGAAATTTGCTTCTTCTGTTGTTAAATGAAAGTACAGATACTTAGGAAACTGAATTCTGTGGTCATTCTGGAATCCCACGAAGGTAGAGCCTACATGTTGGTAACAGAATTTATGATTTAATCAGTGTACTTATCCCTTCAAGGAAAAGAAGCTGGTACAGCCAATTTAGAGCAGGTGATAACTTGTGGTTGCAGGACTATAGCATTTCAGAGTTGCTGCCAAATATGAGGTTTTGAAGAAGCAGTGTGTAAAAGGGCCTCATTGTCCAAAGGGGAAAATACTTCTGCAGCTTTAATAGAAGCATACAAGGAAAGATTGACAATTATTTTCAGAATAATTTACTATATAGCTGTGTGTTATTCTGTGGGTTGCTAGAGTGACTAAAATTACACCTGGAAACTATAATTGAAAATGCCCAGGCTGGAATAATTACTTCACCAGTATTATATAACTAAGAGCAGATGTCATTGTTAGTGGGAAAATGGTGTGAAAGAGCATTTACATCTAAAATTACCAGCATTCACATATGAGCACTGATATATTTAGGCTGTCTTTTGATTTCTTTGGTCTTTCACTGTATTGAGTTAAGCTAATGAGGTAAATGGGAATCATTTAAAGCTAGAGAAAGTAGCTTATTTTATTTTAGCAGAAGGTTTGGCTGAGAATGGTCAATAATATCGAATGATGCAACATATTTCAATGAAAATGTGAACATCACAGACTCCTGTCTGTTCTTTGCAGTAATAGAAAGCCGCTGCTGAGGACTGGGGGGCCCTTGGGAATGGATGTGATTTGGCAGGAGGCTGCAGACGGGGAGTTGGGCATTGGGAGAAATAGCCATTTGGATCCAAGCCTGTATCTTTCAGTACAATTCCCAATCCATAGCTGTTCCTTAGAAATTACAGGGTTGCTATTGTGGAATTAACCTGTAAATAAACTAGAAATGAAAACATACAACAATGTGTTGTTTTTGTTTTTGCTTCTGATAATTGTTTCAAATTGTTAAAAGAATGGATACTGGTACTGGAAATATACCATGTACAGTATCAGGCAAGCAGAGACCTCCCTTTGCTATTGGGGGTGCCTTGCCACTGTGCAGCCTGTATCTCCTGGAACTTCTTGCAGCCTCAGCCTCACCTGTTCAGTTTATATTCTTGGGTGCTTTGTCATATGCACCTGCTATTAATTAATTAATTTCAAAAGATTTATATATTGCTTGATTGTAATAAAACCTCAAAGTGGTTATGTAACTCAGGTCATTGAATCTTGACTATGGGAAAACAGTTTTCTTTCGTACTCCCAAGGTATGTTCAACTAACACAAAACCATGAGTAACACAATGCAAATTTTAAATCATTAGCGTTTAGCATCTAGCTGTTTAGCAGCTGGAGAATCTAACCTACATTGCTTTGCATTTATTCAGTGGAGCAAGTCCCTGTGGAGCCATACTACATTCCACTCTCTCAAGCAGAAGTCCTTCAGAATGGAAGTGATGTTACACTGGTGGCCTGGGGTACGCAGGCAAGTAAGACTCTGATGGATTTTTAAAGAGAAATTGTCTCCTGAAAAAATGTTCTTTGAAATGCCCTCCAGATGAAGTGGACTACAACTCCCATGATCCCTGGCCATTGGCTATGCAGACTAGGGATCACAGTAATCTAGTACATGTCATCCAGACTTAATGGCACATTCCTAACTCCCACCCCTTGCCAGTGGGGCTTGGTGAAGCCCCTGCCACATCCGCAGCCCTGCTGCTCATTTGAGGGACAGCAGAAATTGGGAGTAGGGAGAAGGAAGACAGGATGATTGGGCCCAGTGCTGTTGTGTGATGGCTGTGAGACCAGCCTTGAATGCCCTGTTTTAGGCCTTTTCGTTGGCTCCTGTCCATGTGTTCAGTGACTGGTAGGTTGAGCCAGGAGAGCTGGGTAGTGCAATGCCTCCACCTAATCCAACTCCTCCCTTTTCCCAGCATAAGGTGGGTTTGGATTACTCTGTGTGGAGGTTCCAATGGAAGCAGTGCGAAAAGTTCATCATGACTTAAGTCCCATTTATTTCAGTGGGATCTTAGGGCAGCTAACTATGGCTCCAATCCACAGTCTTTATCTAACAAGTGAAACTTAAATACTTCAGTGCATTGTGGAAACCTTTAAATTAAACACATATAGCATCAATTCTGTTTTTATTTTTGAAAAAATATATATTTCTGATTGAGGCTGTCGTGCTAAGATAAGTGCAGTATGCATGTTGTGAAATATTCAAAAGCACTCTCTAAGTGTTGCTGAAATGAAATTTCAGTAGCCTGCATATCTAATATACTATTGCATGTTTTCACCCAATATTTAGGTTCATGTTATTAAAGAGGTAGCAGTTATGGCTCAAGAAAAGCTTGGTGTGTCCTGTGAAGTAATTGATCTGAAGACTATTCTGCCTTGGGATGCAGAGACTATATGCAAGGTAGGTACATATGGCACATTAGCGCATTCAAGCATTTCAGTTATTTTCTCATATCATAGGTCTTTGTGGAATGACCACCACTAGAGGCCTCTATTAGTTCAAGTTAAAACTGAGTTTTGGCGCTGTTTTACTGACTACTATACTGTGAAGACAGAATTTCAGCTTGTTCCAAAATAATTTTGAAAGTCTAATCTATACTGTTCAGTCATATGAGATTGTGTAAAATATTGTGGTACGTTAGCTTCTTAGGTAGAGATGGGTAGTCAGAAGGCTACCTGGAAAACATGATGGTTATAATCAGGGGAGTGGTACCTGTATTCACAGTACTGACTTGAAGAGAAACCTGTAATCTATTTTCTGAAATATATTATGTGTATTTTTTTCTTTATAATTTTAAAAAGAGTTTTTTTCTTCTTTAGAACTTTTAGAATAACTGGCTAATAATGGGGCGTGTTGGGGGAGGGGTACTGCCTCTGGTGGGGGACATGTTATGCTCCTTCTGGGGTAGTTTGTCCACTTTTGGTCCCCACCCTGCACTTGTGCTTCCTAGAAGTGGCAGCATGCGACAGTGTGCACACCCTGGGGAAAAACTTTGATTGGCCTGCTAGACCAGGTAAAGGTAGGTGATGGGCTTAGTTTTAAAATGCATCCTTATCTTGTCATTCATTTTTTCTGAATCTCTGAACATTTGGAGAATGAGTGTGACCTTGTCAAATGTGGGACACCCTCTCCCTCATTCCTGTGATGAGTAAAGTTTCATTTATTGATTATATTTTACTTTAAAATGTGTGTGTTGCCTCTCCAAATGCTTGAGATCGCATAAAAAGAAAATATTTAATAAATTTTTTTTCAAGATACAACAACGAAATGCAGTATCGGGAGCTTTGGGTTGGTGCAGCATAGAAGCATAGAAGGATAGCTTTGTCTCTTTTTTTAAAAAAATAATATTTATTATTTTTCCAAAAACTTAAACACTAAAAAGACAATACAATACAATACAATACATTAAACTAACAAAACAAAACAAAAACAATAAAATAAATCAAACAATTTCATTATCCCATCTTTCATTCACTTATTTCCACGACCTCCTCACACCTCCCTTTTCGTATTCCACTTCTGTTTATTATTTCAGCAATTCCTTTCCATCTTCCTCTGTTTTCTATCCTATAATTATCTTAACTCATTCTAACCTTATTTTTTCCTTTAATGCTCTATTAATCTATCTGTACTTAATTCCTTATAACATTTCTACTAAAGCCATATAACTTCATTCCAACATTTCTCTAACATTCATTAATTTTACAGTATTTCTGTAAATAGTCTTTAAATTCTTTCCAATCTTCTTCCACCGACTCTTCTCCCTGGTCTCGGATTCTGCCAGTCATTTCCGCCAGTTCCATATAGTCCATCAACTTCATCTGCCATTCTTCCCGGGTGGGTAAATCTTGTGTCTTCCAATATTTTGCGATGAGTATCCTTGCTGCTGTTGTTGCATACATAAAGAAAGTTCTATCCTTCTTTAACACCAATTGGCCGACCATGCCCAGGAGAAAAGCCTCTGGTTTCTTCAAAAAGGTATATTTAAATACCTTTTTCATTTCGTTATAAATCATCTCCCAGAATGTCTTAATCCTTGGGCATGTCCACCAAAGGTGAAAGAATGTGTCTTCAGTCTCGTTACATTTCCAACATTTATTTTCGGGCAAATGGTAAATTTTTGCAAGCTTGACTGGTGTCATGTACCACCTATAAATCATTTTCATTAAGTTTTCTCTTAGGGCATTACATGCCGTAAATTTCATACCTGTGGTCCATAACTGTTCCCAGTCAGCCATCAATATGTTATGTCCAACAACTTGTGCCCATTTAATCATAACTGATTTCACCGTTTCATCCTGAGTGTTCCATTTCAACAGCAAGTTATACATTTTTGACAAATTCTTAATTTTTGAATCTAACAATTCTGTTTCCAATTTTGATTTTTCCACCTGGAAACCAACTTTTTTGTCCAAATTGTATGCCTCCATTATTTGATAATAATGGAGCCAATCTCGCACTTTATTTTTCAATTTTTCAAAGCTCTGCAATTTTATTCTGTCTCCATCTTGATCCAGAATTTCCCAATATTTCGGCCATTTGGTCTCCATATTGAGCTTTTTCTGTTCCTTCGCTTCCAGAAGGATAGCTTTGTCTCCTTCACTTCCAGCTTTTCTGTCTTGTTTGGCCAAGTACAGGACTGTTTATTTCTGCTACTAATTGCCGGACCCTTCTCCAGCTGCTGCTATGCACTTCTGAAGAGTAATTAAACATGTGTTTTTTCTTTTTAAAATACTTTTGTACTGCACACATATTACACATTTCTCAAGTGAGGAATGTTGACAACAGCAGCTGCATGTGCCCTAGTTGTCAGTAAATAATTAAATTCTCATCATTAATTTTGCTAATTCAGATAGTTTTTCATGCATTTTTTTTTTTTGTTATTTTCCCCATTTAAAGCTTCCTCTTTCCACATTGGTAGATTCCTCTTTTTGTAAATGTTCTTGTAACAAGTAAAATCAGGACCACCTGCTTTAATGGCACCACAATTAAACTCAAGATTCCTAATGACATTTTGGGAAATTTGAAGCTGCATGATATCCTGCAGCAACATACAAGAAGGACTACAAAGCAATGAAAATGGAGCACAAAGAATGCAATTTTAAAATAAAATGTCAGCCGTTGCTAATCAGGTTCTCTTCAGATATTTTGGGCCATAACTCCAATGTTAACTGCAAGATTGCACCAGATTTAATTACTTGAAAAGACTGTCCACCATGCCTCGCAAGAGCTTGACAGCCCTGTGCTGTGCGGAATTGGAGAACAGTCAGTGGTGGAAATCTAACACGCAACGTTATTTGAACTCTTATTATTTCCATAAACTAGAGGAGATTATATCCACAGACAAACGCCAATTAAGGGATTGGTGCCAAGTGATCAAATCCTCTAAATCAGGCATTTCCAACTCAGAAGAGATTGTGACCTGCTCCCAGTATAAAAAAAACTGGCAGTGATCTACCCATTGTGATTGGAGGGAGGAGGAGCGTGGGTGGGGTGGGTGGATTGCCCAGAGTTGTTGAGCTTTTTGGGGGAAGGAATGCACGGAGTATTTTAGCTTCCCCCCATAATTTTGTACACAATAACAATCCCGTGATCTACCAGGATCAGCAAGGGATTAGACATCCCTGCTCTAAATGCTCTCCTTGGTTCCTCCTAAAAACAGTCCATTTTAGAGCCAGTTACCTGTCAAATCTCTGGCCAGCCTCGCTTAGATTCACTTTTACTGAGCTATGTTTTCAAGCTATACACTCCGCTGTCCTAAACGGACAATATAACAGGGAACTATTCGAAGACAGACTCTGTATATGTGGGCAACCGCAGATGGAAGACGTCTTGCAATATTTTCTATATTGCCCACTATACATTGGACTGAGGAGGCAATTTATCACCTTACCATCCGTACAGGAAAAATGTCTCTTCCCAGCAGAGAAGATCCTATGACTTCTTAGCGATGTAAACACTTCAGTGACTCATAAAATTTGCTTTGGCGGCCAAAAAGATCACAATGAAGACCCTGGACAATATAGCAGTGAACTGTAAGGGAGATGCAAATATCTAAATAGAGACATTTATTTGTGGTGCGACACCTCTTTTGCTTGTATTTATTTTTGATTCAGATTTGTCCTGGCCAATGGCTAGTACAATAAAGTTATTTGGATTGGATTGGACTACAACTCCCATCAATCTAGGTAACATAGCCAATGATTGGGGGTGATGGAAGGCTGATATATGTGATAGGAAGTGCCAGAAAGCAGTAGATTTCTGCCATGTGTGCACAGCAGAATTAATGTGTATGTCTCACATTAGATATCATGCTGCAATCTATACCAAGTTTCCAGGCAGTAAGCCCCACTGAATTAATAGGATTGAACTGTTAATGCAGGGCATATTGTCTTGATGAATGCCCCTCATAGAGCCAAGCAATTCTCTAGAAATCACTTGGGTTTGAATGTAAGACTGTTAAGGGTTATCTTTTTGTATTCAGCATCTAAAGAATTTTGGCTTGCATTTAAACTAATGATATCATGTCAGTGCTTTGTATTTGGAGACAGTCCTTTCAGTTTATGTATAGCTGTGCCATACATCCCCTCCTCCCTAACTAATTCTTGATACAGGGTAGATTTATCTTGTAGCTTCCTCTGTAGCTTTTAGCAAATGGAAAGGAATCCAGGAACCTTTGGTTTTCCTGACTGTCTTTTTGTCTAATGACAGTAAAAGCCAATGTTTGCCATTGAAACGGTCTCCCTTGGGAGGTTGTGGACTCTCCTTCATTGGAGGTTTTTAAGCAGAGGTTGGATGGCCATCTGTCATGGATGCTTTCGTTGAGATTCCTGCATCACAGGGGGCTGCGCAAAATGAACATCAGGGTCCCTTCCAACTCGACAATTCTATCATTCTATCACTGAGCTGGAACACAGCATGCAGTTAATAAGATACAGCTTTTATGGTAGTTTGATAAACCCAGCAAAATCTGTGGAGTTTCTGTGAAAACCTTTGTGGCTTTCTGAGGAAATCCCAGCCCTATACCTGCTGCTATCATGTTCCTTAATCACGAACGAATAAGGCAACAAGAATGTCAGTTCTTGGCTGCAAAGAGATCATTTGCTTCTGAACTAGTAAAATGTTGGACACTCGTAACTGTGATAACTGCAGTCTTTTAAAAAAGTAATTTGGAACTTTTAACTTGTTCATTGATTTACTGGTGTTAATAGAAAATTAAGACTGATCCATTGCATGGATGAATCTGCAGGGTTTTTCACTCTGTATTGCATTAAATTCTTGTAGCAATTACTGTTGTTACATTTCTTATAGAATTTTAACTGTTGCTGGATAAACTTTGGATATTTTAGAGCAACAATTTAGCTTTTAGGAATATTTCTGCAAGTATGCTTATTAAAACATGAAATTGCATGTTCTATTTATACTATGCATCTGAAAGATCATTGTTTTAAATTATTTTATCTTTGCAGTCGGTGGCAAAGACTGGACGGTTGCTGATTAGCCATGAAGCCCCTATTACAGGAGGTTTTGCATCAGAAATTAGTTCAACGGTTCAGGTAATCTGTTTTTAAGTACCAGAAGATTATTTTCTAGAAGGATATTTATAGTGTTGAGAATGACATACTCAAAAATATAATTAAGATGTTACAGTTCTCTTGTGCATGTTAATTTTCCATCGTTTTGGGAGTTGAGTGCTGCCTTGTGGTTGAAGGGAGAATTGTTGTACAAACAGGGAAATCTCAGTGTTCCAAGCCATCAGTCTCATTGTGGTTGCATCTCAGTACTATGCTTCTTTGTTGGCTTTCAGGCTTGTGTTTTCTGCTTTACTTCATTTGTGTCTACTGTAGTGCCCATGTATCTCCTTGAGTCCTCTAGTTTTCCTTTGTCTTTATCAAAGACAAATTTTTATGGAATTTTGCTTGAGGATTAATTTTGTAGTGGTTGTAGCGAAACAGTAACATAGGTACACTTACAACTAAGTGGTGACAAGTAAATCTCTAGAACTGTCATGTATAGTACAGCTAAACATTTGGAAGAAATGGGCACTGATGTGTGAAAATGGGGTTCTCTTGAGTCTTGACTTGTTATGGGTATACAGGGAAGTTTAGAAGTTTCAGAAAGCAGAAGAAAGACTGTGCCACACACTGTGTTTTTCACAGCTGATTTTATTTTACAGTGGTGATTATGTTGTTACTTAAGTTTATCCTTTTCAAAACTCAAGATAAAACTTGCCTATCCTGAAAAATTCTGATTTTGTTCATATTTGAAAATAGAGTATATTATTTAAACAGAGCAATTTATGACGGCTTGTTTTGAAAATATTGGTTTCATTATTCTTTTCATATAAACTGGAAACCCATTGTTTACATAGCCATTTTCATTTGGTACAGAGTTTAATGCCCTTGAATTTCTACTCTCTATTACTTTATTCATCCCCCCCCTTTCAGTAATTTTTATATATGCATTTTATTAAAAAATGACAACTGCAAAAGTGGGCAAAAGCTTTATAATTGGATATAAAAGCCTTTCTCCCCCTTCCTTTGTTGTCATTGTCATTTTTCATAAATTCCATATGTAAAATCAGATTTTCTGTCATGTGATTTATGAAATATATTGTAGGAGAACGTTAGTTTAGGCACACAAAATATTCAGCTTTATTATTAATTTCTAACACATATTCACTTCACAGTGAATGTATTTTTTAAAGTGTTTGACACATCTGTATCATGAAAAGAAAGCAAAAATCCAACCCCCCCCCCCAATCAATATTTTGCTGGATGAAATGCATAGTAGGAATGCCAAAAATCTCAGGATTGGAGTTGGCTTTTACTTTTGCACATGGAAGTAATAAAACTTAAATAAAGGGAGTCCAATTGCAGTAGAAAAATTCTATTTTCATATCATTCATCCTAACTGTGTGGCTAGAAGAAACTGAGTAACAATATGCAGGTTACCATAAGAGTATTAGCATGCATCACTTGGGGGGCACTTCTGGATCTGTTACTGTCGCTTGAGGCTCAAGTGTTCTTGATTCCACAGACTTCCTTCTATAATTTGCACCCCTGTCTGGACAGGAACAGCCTAACTTCTGTTGTCTACACTCTGGCAACTCTAGGCTAAATTACTGCAATGAATTAACACATGTGGCTGGGTGCCTTTGAAGACTGTTCAGAAACTACAGCTGGTCCTGAATTCAGCGGCCAGATTGTTGACTGGTGCAAGGTGGTCTGACAATATAAACCCAATTCTGGCATAACTGCACTGGCCACCAGTTGGTTTTCAGTCTTAATTCAAAGTGCTGGTTTTGACCTCTGCTGTTCAGGATCCTAATAACTCAAGACTGTCTCTCCCCACATGAACCAACCCAAAACTTGCGCTCATCATCCAAGGCCCTTCATCCTGTGCCTCCTGTGAGGGAGGTTCAGAGGATGTCAGCATACCTTTACAGTGGTGGCTCCCTGCTTCTGAAACTCTTTCTCAAGGGAGGCAATCCTGGCATCATCATTTCTTACTTTTAGGCACCAGACCTTTGTTTTTTAATTTATCTGATTTATCTAATTTATCTCGCCTCCCTCAGTAGGCGAGATACTTTAGTTCTGCCTTTTAATTTTTCCTCTGTTTTTAATATATGTAAGTTAAATAATAATCATTACTATTAATAATTTTGCATCTTATGTCAGTGTGCACACACAACAGCATGGTGTCAGCATGGATCTTAAATAAAAGAGAGAGTCACATTGCAATCCCGGGCATGTTAACTTTAAGTCATGCTGATTTCAGCAGAGCTTGCTCCTAGAAAAGTAGGTATAGATTGAAGCCTGAGTTATCAAACTTATCTTTTGCATTGATGTAATCCTGAAGGAAGATTTAAAATATTTTAATGCATATCCTAGCGTTTAATGAAGATGGTGTATGGATTGCCTGCTAGTGGTGACTTATTCCTGGAACTATAAATGTAGTTTTATTTAAATAGACTTTGTTCTGTTAAAATGAAAATGGAACAGAGATGAATTACCTGCCACACTGATGCTCATCTTTAATTTTGAGAGCCATAAGTTCTGTGTATAGTGAATTGAGCTCCAGGAATTTCCAGCAGGGACCAATAGTATGATTTGTGAAAAACTATTGAGCCTACCTTTTACTTTTCTTGCCCACCAGAGTCAATTCATGTGGGTATTGCCTGGAAAGTGTGGCTTTTAGATAATGAGCCTTCTGTCACTACACAGGTTGCAACAAAAGTAGAAATAAACATTTTTTAAAAGTTTGCTTTCCCAATCCAAAGCTTTATCTAAGTGGATGCAGGGAAACAATTTGTTTGCACAATTATCTGGTATGTTGCATCACAGAAACATCCGTAAACTGTTAGAGCTTCAAATGCAAAAGCTAAGAGCTAATCCACATTGTGTCTTTTTTGTCTATGTGAACAGCCCTAGTCTTTCCTTTTATACACTCACATGGTGAAAAATAATGTCTGAACTAGTGGAATGCAATTAGTAATGAGACATACTTTCTGCTTTCCTGGTTATCTTTCCTGGTGTATTGGCAGTAAGACTTCATGTAGCACAAAGTTTACTTGGGGTGGAAGGATGTTGCCTGGGCATAATATTTTATATCAAGACTTTGCTGATCATGATGTTGCTTTTAACAAATTATGAAAGCGTTTGATAACCTCTCACCCTAAAAGTGTTTCTAAAAGAGTGGCTGTTGGTGGTATCTACCTGTCACAGAGTTGGACATCTGTTTTATGCTAGCATGATAAGGAGATAGTTATTGCTAATCATCAGAGGTTCCCAGCTCCTTTTATTTAGTATTATTTATATAGAGCATTTGTACCACATTCTTCAACCAAAAAGGCTCCCAGAGCGGCTTACATGAAATCAGAACAAGACCCTCCCTAGCTGCAGGCTTAGATTGAAACAAACAAATAAATAACATACAGAGGAAAAGGGACAAGGAGGGAAGATGAAAATAAAACTCAAAACCCAGGCACCAAATTATAGACAGCTGCTCGTATATTGACCAGCTTCTTGCATACTGTAGAGTTGCCATATTTCAAAAAAAGTTGTTGAGCTTTTTGTTTAGACCCCAAAATTGTTGGGCTTTTTGGTGGAAACCTTTCCCTAAAATAGTCATTTTAAGCTTTTTGACCTGTTTCTGCTGCTTTTTCCAGTGCATTGCCATACACCCAGGTTTTCCCTGTCATTTTGTCAATTTGGCAAAATTTCATCAGATTCCATTTTTACACCTAAAGGCCAGGACATGCTAGGAATTTTCCTGGCGTATGCCAAGCCTAGCATACTTCAGAGGCTGGAGGTGCCTGATGAAATGACTGCCTCTAGATGAGACATGAGAGAAAAGAGGCCCGATGGAGCTGGCCTGCCACAGCAGAGTCAATGGATTGAGCTCTGCTACTCAGCAGACCTGGAGCCACTTGAAACACATTAAATTTCCTAAAATCTCATTCTGTAAAACAGGGCCAGATACTCGGGATTTGCCATACAGCTAATTTTCTGTTTTGCTCTTTAATCTTCTGCAGTTCAGCTGGCAATAATCACAACTTCTAAAAGATTGTCGCAGTTCCATAGATCACAGTATAAGATAGTGTCCTTGGGTTGTTGGACAAAATTAATGAACTGTAAAGCAATAAAAGAAGCCTGCGGAATGGAATAGAAGCCAAATGGAAAAGAAAAGGAAGAAAGGTGAAAAGGGTGGCCTGGGGGATGATGATAAGCAAGAAGAATTGAGCTATATAAAAAGAAAGCATTGATAACATGGGCTCTGATTCAGATGACTACAAAAAGGCGTTTCGTTAAGAAAAGCATTTTGTTAAAATTCCCTTGTGTCGAACTACAGTTAGCGTGGCAAGATGCATCTATTTAAAAAAAATAAAATTCTGACAGCTACCTTTCCTGAGATTTACTTTCTATGTTTTGATTATGCATGGAGTAAGACAGTCTTTGTGGGGCCACATGAGGGTTTTTGTGTGTCATGTTAGCATAAAGTCTGCATAATGATGTGAACCACCCACCCACCTCTCTTCTACCATTAGTATTGGGATACAGATTGTTATTGGCTATTGAATAGATCAATAGAGTGTAACTTGTGAAATGTGGGCCATTTTTACTGAAAATTTATTTCCATTTTGGGATGTTCAGTTTGCCGTAGATATTTATCTGCTTGAGGCAAAATGATTGTCATAGTAGTACATTTATATTTACTGACTGTGATTTATAACTCAATATATGCCTGCCAAAGCAGAACTGGAATAAATATGGAACTTTTGTTTTAATGAGTTTCTTTCCTTTAGTGGGTTTAGCACATGCCTCTGTTCAACTGTTAATGTTCACTCTCCTAAAATGTGTTTTGGGTTATACTTGTTATTTAGTATATAGTTGCAGCTGCAAAAATATATTTGTAATTCAAACCAATATGGTTGGAAATACAGACCTAAACTTAAATTTAACCTAGATAAATTATAACATGCTTGCTTGAAATACCATTAATTCAAAGCATAATGGGAAAAGGACCAGGATAACTCTTAAATAATGAGGGATTCTCATGCACAAAGTGAACCTTTGGAAAGTTTTTGTAGAATTTTTCTGAAACTTAGAAAGATTTTTTCAATATTATATTTTGTTAGAATTTAACCAATAAAAGGAACTTCATTGAAAAAGCATATCAGACTATGCAACTTATGTTTTATGAACTGGTGTAGTTTCCTTTTTTGTTCCAAAGATACATTAAAGTTTGGATGCATCAGCATTTTCAACAAGTTTATAAACTGAATGATAATTTGGTATCAGAGAGACATATGGATTCTTTAGTATACATTCACATCCTATTTAGTTAGAAAAGATTTTATAAAGTACAGTGCATTGCATCAATAATCTGTAGTTCAGTTCTAGTGTTCTTTTTAATCACTTACTTGGCTTCTGACTGGTTACATGTATGACTTTTATTTAATACAGATTGAATGTGACAGGACATAGCTGTGAAAATGTTCAATAAAATGCCTAAAGTCTTGCACATTCTACATGTCCCAGTTCCAAAAATTAAGGCTTGAAAGCATTTTATTTTGTTTGGCATTGTAAATAAAAACCCACATAAATGGCTTTAAATATGAAATTGTAGGAGTTACTGTTAAATCTGCCAGTTTTAAAAGGTACCATCTCATACTATATACTCATCCTATAAAGAAAAACGAGAGCTCTCAGTTTACAATATGCCAGTTGTTTTGTAGAGAATCCATTCATAGATAGCTTCTGAGTAGGGCATTCTTATCTACACATAAATGCTGCATAGTAATGCTATATGGACTTCTTTCCCAGTTTTGGCAAATTCATTGATGACAGATTCTACCAAAACAGCAAATGCTGTTCATTGTTCCTCTCAAAGAGTTCCTTTAGAGGGCAAAAAGATCCAAAAAATACTATATTTAAGTGTATACCTTCCGGACATTAAACATATATGTAGAAATAGACTGCAGTCTTTTTTTGTGAGGTTGAAAATAAATCACTGCATTTATCTTACCAGAATAAAAGTTGATGGAGGATTAATTTTAGAAAGGGTTGGCTTACAGGAAAGTCTTTATTCCAAAGTAGTTGCCAAATTTTAATGTTTCAAACACACACTTGCACAATATGAAAGTAGTTAATGCTTTTATTAATTTTTATAACTATGTAAGGGCATCCTAGAGTGTGGAAGTGTTACTTGGTATAATTTCAGTAATTTGCAGTTCACAGAAAAGATGCATTTCATTGACAAAGATTTATTTCATTTGCTCACAAGGGGGAATGACCAAATGTGAATAATGATCTTTCTCTTCAATTAATCACCTAGAGCATCAATCCACACACACACACACACACACACACACTTTGTAAGTACCTGGAAACATAGACTGTACCACATGCAAAACATAACACTGAATTATTAGGAAGCTTTAGTTAACTCTGAAGACATTAATAGGAGCTATTCCATTTTTTTAAAAGTGATACTATGTAATAACACATTATAGCAGGGTTAGCCTATATGGCACTCTAGAGTTGTTGCTAGACTGCAGCTCCCATAGTCCCTGACCATTGATCATATTGCCTCAGGCTTATAGGAGTTGTAGTCCAACAACAGCTGAAGACCACATTGACTACCCCTGCATTACAACAATAGTAGCACCATCAACCAATGGTCTGGTTTGCATGTCACTAACCATAGTTAAGCTTAATGTTTAAGTTTAACAGTGAATATGCGGCATGCGTAAGGTGATAATCACAGTTGCATTGTTTCTCCCATACTGGGCAGTTTGGGACCTAGGCTTAGTGTTATATCCAAACCTAGGCTCATGATTTGTTGGGTGGTAAGCAAAGACGCGGGTGGTGCTGTGGGTAAAACCTCAGCGCCTAGGACTTGCCGATCGTCAGGTCGGCGGTTCGAATCCCCGCGGCAGGGTGCGCTCGTTGCTCGGTCCCAGCGCCTGCCAACCTAGCAGTTTGAAAGCACCCCCGGGTGCAAGTAGATAAATAGGGACCGCTTACTAGCGGGAAGGTAAACGGTGTTTCCGTGTGCTGCGCTGGCTCGCCATGACCTGGAAGTGTCTCCGGACAGCGCTGGCCCCCGGCCTCTTAAGTGAGATGGACGCACAACCCTAGAGTCGGACACAACTGGCCCGTACGGGCAGGGGTACCTTTACCTTTACCTTTAAGCAAAGACCAAACCTTACAGCTATAGCTCATGATTTATTTGGGGAAAACAAGCCATGAAGCCAGACTGGCTTAGCATTAAGTTCAAATCTATGACAGTGTGGCAGCTTCAGGAATCGGGGACGAATGAAGTGGCCACAACTATCGCTCTGTTCTCCATTCACTTTGTGTTCACCATTAAACCAAAGTTAATCTTAACCATGGTTTAAAGTGACACACAAGCACTGCCGGTAACACAGATTTAAACTTGGCTGTTTTTGGCAAGTTCACCTCAGTGGATTCCATGAGCTGGTTTAATATTATCGAATATTCTCAGAGAGACGAGGCATCCTCATCCAGTGTGGACAAGCAATACAAGTTCTTTGAGGTCAGAGGTCGAGTGACTGAAGCAGTAGCCTGGTTTGCACCACTAGCTTAGTGCGAACGAGGAAACATACAGCTTTCCAGAAAGGAAGTCGCAGCTACTTTGCTCTTCCTCTGGTCATTCTGCTGTGCTGAGCTAAACTATGGTTTGGCTTAGTGTGCCATCTAAACTAGGGCTGTGGTTTAACTCCTAACAAGCCATGAGTTGTAACCACAAGCTGGCAAGGGGAGACATCGTGATCATAAACACTTATTTGAGAGTTTGCATGTTTGCTTGTTTGTACTAAGCCAGGGGTTGGCTTAGCGTGGGTTGGCTTAGCGTGGTGTGTGAACCAGGTCAATGCTTTGTTCAAGTGTTCTGATAAAGTGTTTCTGAGATGCTTCTGTCAATATCAAATAGCAAATATGTCTCCATCATTAGGCTGCAGTTTTGTTTTTAGAAACCATGTCCTTACCTCCTCATACAACTTGGTCAACAACCACAGTGATAAGTGAATTGTAAAATAATCATATCTGCTGCTGGTAATACTTGCTACCAAATGGTTTATTTACTTTATATAGCAATGCATAATTCTGTGAGTAGTTTTATGGGTACTTAAACTAATTACAGCTTTTGATTAGCTTTTTGTACTTGAAGAGGAGAAAGTTTGAGCAGCAATGGTAATTTCAGTGGTAATAAAATTAGCATTGATTAAGGTTTGACAGGCTGCATTTGTCCAGGTGCTATACACTTGGAATTCCTGGCAAATGAATGCAGAGAGGCTAGTTTATCATGGGAAAAGAAAAGTATTTCAGACTTCTGTTTTCAAGTACAAACAATTCTAAACTTATTTAGAATGCAGCGAGGAAATTGAAGATAAATCTGGACCTGTATACTTCAGTTTGTACACCTGAAATGATACAGTGCTGTGATGTTGGTCTAAAACAGCACAAGATAAATTTCTCAGCTACGGTATTATTTCCTAGGACATTATAGCAGATAAAAGAGTTTTTTCATAGACTGAAGAAAATTATGATAAATGTTCTTAAATCTAATTTATGTGAGCTAGGTCTATTGAAAAAGGAAAATGGTGGAATGTGCAGTTTTTACAAAGGTGTGTATATGATAGAAGGTGAGAGACCACATACAAAGTGTTTAAAAATGCACAAATAACTTCTTAACACATTATAAACATGCAGTTATCATGCATCTGAAAATGTTTTTTATAGAGTTGGGGAACCTCTAGATCTGCATGAGAGGTGGTGAGAGGGGCTGCAATGGGGAGGGGGAATTGAACTCTGCATCCTTCTACTGTGGAAATATCCACTTGATATGAGTTTTGTTGTACAACAGGTCTGTGTCAAACTCATTGGATTTATTAGACTCGGGAATGATATTCCTGCTGACTTTATCTGAATTGTTAGTTTGCTGTACGCTAAGGGATTGTGGGATAACATACTTTCAATGAATGTGTGGGGAAATTAAATTAATGATCAGAATAAAATAAAAAATATTGAAAGCTTACGTTCCAGCTTTGCTCTAGGTGTCAGAAATCAGTTCAGATTAAGAACAAGTTTCTCCATTACTACTTAAATAAATTCCCCCGTTTTGATAAAGGGGGAATCACTAAGAAAAACCTCTGTAGATTCATAGAACTGCAGAGCTGGAAGGGATCCCAACAATAATCTATTCCAACCTGCTGCGTTGCAGGATTCTAAGCCAAATTCATACACGAGAGATTTCCATGTAGCATGATTCCCACATATAGATAGCAAACTCAATATGATATATTTTGATTAGCCTGGTGCTTCAGGAAGCTTGTTGATGTACTTATCATCAAGCAAATTTGTCACCAATAGGCACCTTAATTAATTAACTATTCCCTGTTGCTTTTTGTTTGTATACACATCTTTCTCTTAGGAATTGAATGTCTCCTAAATAATTGCATATTTAGATACACTTATGAGATTAAAAATGTGCTGTGTGTTGAACTGAACTGGCTGAGACAAACAACACCAGTTTTGCTTGTGTGCATGCATATACTAAGCATTTAGATACTCTATGTCATGTTACACTTTCGGAGTATAAAACCTATAGCCTGTGTTAAGGACAAAGTAGCAATATTTAGGTTAACTTGCAGTGAGCTAAAGGAAATATTTAATGAAAATATTTATCGTGTCAGAATCTACATTACAGGGACCGAGATTAAACTACTTTTTGTGAGAATAGTAGATTAAAGTAAATATTATGTACAATAAGAGTAAAACTGCTTAATTTGTTCTTTTACAAATAAAGGCCCCTGACCTTCTAGCATAGTTTATTTCAAGCTTTTAACAAGGTTTATTTAAGACACATGTGCAACGATTCTTACATAGCTAGGGTTTTAACATGAATAGTTTTTTCCTTAGTCCTCAAGATTGTGGTTTTGCCTGACAGTTTCTATTTAATCTTGAATGATGAATTTTATAGTTTGCTGAAGTATGTATGCAACTTTCCTTTAAAAATATTAGTTGATTTAATTAGATTTGTTTGCTTTTTGCAGCACTTTGAATCTTCCTTAAAATGTATTCTTAAACTCTTAGTTTTTAAGTACTTCCTACATTACTTGCAATCAGTTTCAATCTAGTAGTGAATATTAGATGATCACATCCTTGTGTCAGTTTCTCTGTGCATAGCGTTAAGGAATTGTTTTATTTGATTTTCTAATGCTGTTTCACATCCTCTTCACTTCAACATGGATTGTGCATGAAGAGTTGATCACAGTTCAGAATTGTAAAGCCTTTTGAAAATCAGAACATTGAGTTAGATTCACTGTGCTCTCATCTCAGCATGACTAAGTCTGAATCCAACCTGTCAGGTCTTGGTCAGTCCAAAACATGTTATGTTAATGCTCAGGTCTGCCAATACAGGGCTCTAGCACCACTCAAACTGGGATATATGCTTTAGGGTAATATTAAACAAGTTCAGTGAAGCAGAGAAGAATGTTCTGTGTGCTTAGTATAGAAAACTTATTAGAGGCAATATAAATCAAGTTAAGTAAACATTTTTTTACGATCACCTCTGTGCTAATATTCAGGTACGTTTTAAAGAGATGTTTCAGCTGCGCAAGTGTTATTTTTGTACTTTGTTTCATACTGAAACCTTTGGCGGACATGAATTTCTAGGTCTTATATATGACAGGGTTTTGGCTCTGAAATGTTTAGCTCCTAAGTAGGCCACTTTGATCTAGATCATGCCACATTAATATGACATTGCTTATTGATTTATTGCACTGTCATAAATTTAGGATTGTGGGTGCCAATAGATCAACAATTTATAGTTGTTTAACAATTTGAATAATTTCAGTATCGATTTCCTCCCCAATAAAACGTTTTCTGTTAGCGAGTTCAGTCTTCCTTCCTTTCTCTTGTTGCTTTCTGAAACATCTGCAGTGATTGCATCCTTCCTGTAGAAAAGTGGTCAAAACTAAATAAATGCATATGTTGCTGCATATCTTTAAAATATTTGAGCAAAAGGTTCAGATCACTTAGAAGCTGTCAGGAACTGACTGTACTTGCCAATGTATTTGCTTTTGACCTAAATATCCACTTAATTTCCAAAGGTTTGGAAACTGTACCTAAAGCTTTGTTTAAGCGTTTCAAAAAGCATTTTGCTCCAGAAGTCGGCTATTTGAGACTGAATTCAGATGTACACCTCCATGTGTTTAGTCAGATTGATTTTAACTGTAATGAAATGTATATAACGGGGCAGCAGATTCCCGCCTGGGATTTTATTTTTTGTCATAAATTAAAGAAAAAGAGAACCCCAGATTTCAGCTCTGAGCAAAACTGCAACTCAGCGCTAACAGGTTTTCCTCATTGCTAGAGGTTCCTGTTCATTGCATTCTTCTAAAATAGTATAATAGCTAAGGGTACATCGGCATTTCATTTGGTGGGATATGCAAAACTTAATTTATTGTGCACGTAGCTAACTATTTTCACATGTTCAAGTTAATACTATAAAATCATACCACAATTTCTTTTGGAATTTAAAAGCTTTTACATTTTAAATAATCATGTGTAACGTGTTAGACATCTTGAAGTCAAATCCCATGTAACATATATACTATTGGTATAAATAGCACCTACTGAGTTGATAGAGTGATCACTTATTTTCTTAACAATAATTTTCTTCTATATCTGAAACTAAAAAATAATAATAAATGATCAAAGCTTAACAATTATATTTTCCTGCATTGTAGAACAGATGTGTTTGGATGGAAAGTAACTTGATAAACAATCATGACATTGACATTGACATTAGAAGCTCTTGTTTTCAGAGATTGAAAATTTGATGAAGCATTGAAGCTAATAATAGGAACAAAAATCTGTTTTTCATGAATAAATGCTTATAGTAAGAATACAGGATTCCCCTGGAAAAATAATAATTAAAACAAAGAAAAACAAAGACAGATTTAAATAACTCCCAAAGTAGCTTCGTTTTTTCCATTTCTACTTGCCATATCATTTAAAAGTACAGCTATATTTTATAAATAAATACAATTTGGTATGAAATATATAAAGATGCAAGCTTTCAGAAATATATCCTTCATTATATGCAGTGCATCTTACACAAATGTAAAGAAAAGTTAAACAATAGATCAAAGAAATGCGTACAAGTAACTTCAGTGAGATCTGTTTTAAAATGTTACTGCAGGCATTCAGATGTACCTGAAAGTTAATCTTTTTGAACTTTTAGTTTTACTTTAAATAATCACCTTAATTCAAGTCGGAAATTTTATAATTTATTGCAGCAGGACAGCTGAAGTATAGCATCAGTACAATCCAAAAGGAATACAAGAAACAGCTTGTGTGTATGAGAATCCAAGGACAACTCAGATGGTGATCTTAAAAAAAGAAAATAATTTGAAAGTTCCATGCTTTTATTGGAAAGCTGAAATGTATGAATCCTAAAGTATTTGAAGATTGGCCACTCATCCAAACACAGCCCAACTTTTACTGTTCAGTATTATCACACAAAGGAGCGATCTACAAGCCCAAGTTTCTGCAATTAATTCCTGGAAGGCCCCTTGGGTGGCTAGCACTGAATGGTGTATTGTTTAAAAAAGGCTAGTATCAGATTTCATTTAAGAAATGTGTGTGTCTGAATGCCATAAGTCTGCTTGTGTAAAAAGATAGATCTCGCTACAAACACACTTGGTTTTAAAATGCATTTAAACATAGATAAAATCTTTATGCCACTGTCTGTAGGGTGGTATTAAATTGGTTGTTCTCTTCTAACATGTTTGTAAACTGTCAGGATTAAATATGATCTCTTCATCCTAAGATTTTTTCATATTGAATAGATTATCTACACACATAGAGCATGGGAAGTTGATAGTTTGGGATACTTTTTCTTGGGGATTTTTTTTCAGCTGCAACTCATCAGAACTCAATTCTGGCATCTCTCAGGTGGGCGCCATTGCCATTATACGAGGAAAAGGCAGGCGTTCTTAGTGAGTTGTGGCACCTCTTTTTCTAGAAAAACAGCACTGCCTTTTTTCTTTTGCGTATTTAAAACAGGTGGCTGAGTGGCACTCGCAAATCATACCACATCAGCTAATACAATGGAAGTCTTTTCCTCCCATGATAAATTATAATAATAATAAATTTTTATTTGTACCCTGCCCTGCCCTGCCCGGCCGGAGTTGGGCTCAGAGTGGCTAACATCATATAAATAATACAATATACATAAAAGCAAACAATCAATTAAAATGCATCCCAAAATTAATTTAAATAATGTACCTGTCCTCCCAAACTCCTGTGTTTCAGCAGCAGTAGTCTGACATGCAGGTGTTCTAAATTATTGAGGAAATGGGAACAGGAAGATATGTGTTATAGGACGTAGGAGGATAGGATGTAGGAGGGAGGGAGGGAGGGAGTGCTGTTGCGTTTGTGTTTGCAGCAACCAGCTTTGTTGCAGTTAATAATAACATGTCACTTGAGGTTGCCTAAGTGATGGTAAGTTGCATGAGACTACCCAGTGATCTTATGGTAGAAGCAATAATTCCTGGATCTTTGGGATTTTCTGGATCACATCTCAATTTCTTAGATAGCAATCCTTAATCCCACTTAATTAATGGATAACCCCATTAATTCGCTGGGACTTGATACTATGTAGACATGGTTGGGATTGTGCTATTAGCTACTAATCTTCATCAGTGATCCAACTGTCATTGTTAGTGTGGAGTCTCAATTTAAAAACATCATTAGCAGAACAAATCATGAAGCATTGGATCCCAAGTTATATTGGAAAGAACTGACTCAGAGTGTTAACATATGGTGGTGCTGCATTCTATCAGCAAATATTAATACTTCAGATTTTAATACATTCTGTTTTCATCATAACATTTCAAATTACAAGTAGCAATTTTCTTTCTAATTTCATTTCACTTTGTCAGCAGAACTGCGGCTTTACCAAGGGTTTCACACTGAGGATTTCACAGTACAAGAAAATGAAAAGCTAAAACAAGCATTTCCACTCTCATCCAAAAACCCTTATTGAATAGATTTATTGTCTGAAGGGTGAAAGTAATTAGTTAAAGAAAATCTACAACACAGTACATAATGTTAGAAGCTCTTTTTTTATAGGAAAAAAGTGTTGGTAAAAATATCTAGGAAAAATGTAACCCAGAAGTCATCTGTAGAGTGGTTGGATTAATGCTAAGCAGGGATGGCAATAACTTAAATAGATTAAGAAAAACCCTAACGTGGAAATGCAAGAAAGAAAGAAAGAAAGGAAGAGAAGAAGGAAGGAAGGAAGGGGGAAAGGAAGAGGAAAAGGAAAAGGAAAGATTTCTTCTGTATAAAGTTCAAAGGAAGTGCTCACCTTGTGTGATTTATCGTAAGGCCATGTTTCACATGAAGGCTGGAAATATGATGCGCTGATCCTTACAAGTCAATTGTGCTGACCCTCAAAGGGATCGGAGTATATGGTGCAACCCACACCAAAGAAATGGTGCAGTTTACAAACCCATGTACCATGGTACTTCCATTTCCCCAGTATTACTTTAAGTCAGGGGTCAGCAAACGTTTTCAGCAGGGGGCCAGGCCACTGTCCGTCAGACCTTGTGTGGGGCTGGACTATATTTTGAAAAAATAAATAAATGAACGAATTCCTATGCCCCACAAATATCCCAGAGATGCATTTTAAATAATGCTCCGCCATGACCTCCCGGCCAATTTGGATACAATAAAGGAACTGGAGGCCCCTCGACTGTCCTCGGGTCCAGTATTGGACCACTTCGACCGGATATCCCCAGCCGATGTGGACAGACTCCTCCGAGCTGGAAAGCCCACCACCTGTCCTCTCGACCCGTGCCCGTCTTGGCTGATTAGAGCGTGTCCAGGCGAGGTGCGGGCCCTCCTGGGGATATCATCAATTTGTCCCTTGGCACGGGACATTCCCAGGGAACTGAAGGAGGCAGTGGTGCGCCCGCTCTTAAAGAAAACATCATTAGATCCTTTAGATCTATCCAATTACCGCCCGGTTTCGAATCTTCCGTTCCTGGGTAAGGTGATTGAGAGAGCGGTTGCTGAACAGCTTGGTGGTTTTCTGGATGAAACATCGGCTCTGGATCCATTCCAGTCCGGCTTCCGCACTGGTCATGGGACCGAGACAGCTCTGGTTGCCCTAACAGATGATCTTCGTAGACAGCTGGATCGAGGCGGGTCGGGGCTGCTGATTCTTCTAGATCTGTCAGCAGCTTTCGACATGGTCGATCACGAACTTCTAGACCACCGCCTTGCCGACGTGGGGATCCAGGGCACAGTCCTTCAATGGCTGCGCTCGTTTCTCTCTGGTCGGGGACAGAGGGTGGCGCTTGGGGGGGAATTGTCATCGCGCCACTCCTTGGTGTGTGGAGTACCTCAGGGTGCGATACTCTCCCCGATGCTTTTCAACATCTTTATGCGCCCCCCCTCGCCCAGCTTGTTCGGAGTTTTGGGCTGGGTTGCCATCAGTATGCTGATGACACCCAACTCTATCTGTTGATGGATGGCCATCCTGACTCGGCCCCAGACACACTGACTAGATGTTTGGAAGCTGTGGCTGGATGGTTTCGTGGGAGCCGGTTGAAGCTAAATCCTTCGAAGACAGAGGTCCTGTGGCTGGGACGGGGCGATATGGGATTGGGGGGGCAACTCCCATCTCTTGCGGGGCGCAATTAGTGCCAGCACCGTCCGTTAAGAGTTTGGGTGTAATCTTCGACACCTCCCTTTCCATGGAGGCGCAGATTGCAGCTATAACAAAGGCGGCATTTTTCCATCTCCGCCAAGCTAAGCAGTTGGCTCCTTACCTCTCTCGCCCTGACCTAGCCACTGTGATCCATGCGACGGTCACCTCCAGACTGGATTATTGTAACTCGCTCTACGTGGGGCTGCCCCTGAGACTGACCCAGAAACTCCAGCGGGTGCAGAATGCTGCAGCGAGACTCCTTACGAGGTCTTCGCTGCGAGATCACATTCACCCGGTGCTATACCAGCTGCACTGGCTCCCGGTGGAGTACAGGATCAGGTTTAAGGTGCTGGTTTTAACCTTTAAAGCCCTATACGGCCTAGGACCCTCGTACCTACGGGACCGCCTCTCCTGGTATGCCCCACAGAGAAACTTACGGTCTTCGAATAAAAACATCTTGAAGGTCCCAGGCCCCAGAGAAGTTAGGCTGGCCTCCACTATAGCCAGGGCTTTTCGGCTGTGGCTCCGATCTGGTGGAACACTCTGTCACAAGAGACCAGGGCCCTGCGGGACTTGACATCTTTCCGCAGGGCCTGCAAGACAGAGCTGTTCCACCAGGCCTTTGGCCAGGGCACAGCCTGACTCCCTCCCTCGGCAATCTTCGCGGAGCTCTGGCCCAATGGTTGCCAGTGGCTTGAATTAATTAATTTTATAACGAATGATTTTAGACTGTTGTTTATGCTGTACTTTTGTACTGTTTTATTGTTGTTAGCCGCCCTGAGCCCGGCTTCGGCTGGGGAGGGCGGGATATAAATAAAATTTATTATTATTATTAAAAGGACGCACTCTACTCATGTAAAAACATGCTGATTCCCGTACTGTCCGCAAGCCGGATTTAGAAGGCGATTGGGCCGGATCCGGCCCCTGGGCCTTAATTTGCCTACCCATGCTTTAAGTGATGTGCTGATAGAATAAATCTTTTGTGTAAACAACCCCCGAGAGCATACCGTACAAGAGAGGCCCTAGCACCTTAGCTACGTCTACTGGTGTGGATGCATGCTTGTGCCCCTCACAGCAGGCACCTACAGTACAGCATGGAAAATTTTAAGTCATGGCTTCCAGCTTCACAGTTGCTACTGCCAGAGAAGTCTGCCTGAGGGACGTTATCATAGGAAGGCCCTCAACTCTAGAACTGGCCTGGTGCTATAGCAATGAAAAAGGACACATTTGGTGTTAGGGATTTAATGGTTTGGGATTTAGATACGCTGTGCTAAAGAAAAGATACAAAGCAGAGATCTTTGTGAGTTTGGTTTTCATTTGCCATTTTCTTCTTTAATATGCTTGTTGTGAATTATGCTACTTAGAGAACTTGACTGCTACACCCAGTACATTGAACAATGTTGTTCACAGCTAGATGTTTGTGTTTCTAGTTTTATTACTTCTAGGCAATAAAATGCTTTGCGATTATTTTTCAGTCAGTTGTAATCAACTGTATCCCCAAACCCAGCTCATTCAAATGTTCACTTAGTAACATGGTCATCTCATGGGACTCTTCCACCTCAGAATGCATATGGCAATTGCTTTTTTTTGAAAGCATTTATGTGTGAAAATCTTCTTGTAAGTGGAAAATGGAAAGCTTATTGGCCAGGAAGAAAGCTCAGCTAGCAGTTTAGTTTATTCATGTATTTGAATTATTTACTTAAATAATGTAATGTATTATTATTTTTACCTATTTTGTTCATTCCTCCATAAAATCTTGAGGACTTATGGTTTTTTAGATAATGGGAGCAGCATGGGTTTGAATAGCTGACACATTTAAAGCTAATACTAAACATGTCAATGGTAACTGATGAATTTTGATAAGTTTTTTTTTAACTATTAGATTCAAAGTGCTGGTGTTGACCTATAAAACCTAACATTTTCATTTCTTTTTTTAACTTTTTCTTTCTTTTGTCTGTGTCCTATTGGTTCTTCCCTGAACAGAACATTGAAGTTTAAGACATCACTGAGACAGTAAATTTATTTTGGGCAAGAGACTTCTTCCTTGCCTTGGCCTTGTTTCCTTTTGGATTTAAAAAACCAAATATTCCTTTTTAACTTGAGAGTTTTAAAACATAGCTGATATTCAGTAGTGACAGCTGGGAGATGCAAACAAGTATTGCCAGTGGGGTTGACGAAAACGATGTCTTGCTTTCTACTATTTTTCAAGGCACAGAGATTATTCTGCTCTTCTGGTACATAAATTGGAAGTGAAAGGAGAAAGTGGGAAGGCCAAATCTCTTCCATTGACTGATAATAGCTGGTTTTTAGACTGCTATATACCTGAGTGTCCCTTAGACATTTTCACACCTGTTAATCACTGAGAAGTTGTTGTGTATCTGGGAAACATTTAAATGATCCAGCCATGTGTGCAGGGGGAAATCACATGAGTCTTTTTCAGTAACATGAATCCTTGAGGGGAGTTGAGCTTTGAGAAGGACTCTCATGGCCTGGCAATAAAAGTCTTGCAGTTTCTTCATGCCGGTACTGGTACTGAGTTAACTTGCCTCTTTTCTTAGTGCAAGATCAGGAGTCATAGTCCTGAACTCTTGCCAAAAACTCTGGGCTAGTACTTTCAGAACTGTCCAGGGTCCTGAACCTGCCTTCTCCAGAACATTACTGGCTTGTGACCTGTCACCTTGGGATAATGGAATTCTTAGAGGATCAGGACGACCCTTAATTGTGTTCTTTAAATTCCAAGACTCTCATCCAAGCATAGTTTAATGAGTGTTAAAATGTCAAGAATATCCTTTAAAGCTATTGGCATTATTCACTTTCTTCTATCTTTTCATTAACAGGAGGAATGTTTCTTGAACCTAGAAGCGCCTATTTCAAGAGTGTGTGGTTATGACACTCCATTTCCTCACATATTTGAGCCATTCTATATCCCAGACAAATGGAAATGCTATGATGCACTTCGGAAAATGATTAATTATTGATCATGCAGGTAAGTGGGGGGTGGAGAAGATATATTTAGATAGTTTGGAATTAGTTTTAAAATGTTCAGATAAAATTCTAAGATTTTTTTAAAAAACTACATAAGCCCTTGCCTGCAATCCCAAACATGTGTTCTAGGGAGCAAATATAATTGAATTCTGCAGGATGAATTCTTATTAAACATATATATGATTGTGCTACCGTTGAGCAAAGTCACCATATAAATCTGAGTGGCATGGTAGCAGATATTTTTACTTGTTCAGGGTTGCTACAGTTTGGCAAGGGATTAGACAACCATTCATTGATGCTTAAAACACATATTTCGCTATAAGATGTGGATAGAAACAATTTATTTTCAAAAATAACCTTTTTTTGGGTAGTTTTCCTGATGTAAGACTAAGTGGTTGTTTGGATCTGCACAGAGAGAAAACTAAAGCAAGCACTGCAAGCCAGACTGTCCTACAGTTTTCATGGTCTGACTGCTCACTTTAGAGCTATTTTTTAAGGTTGTTGGTATCAGTCTGTCTCGAGAGACAATGGAGGTGACGACTTCTGGGGTGAAGACAAACCTCTGCATTAGCAGCACCCAAATAACCTCCCTAGGGCACAAGCCTGGGTGGTGTATATGGAGGTTCTGGATGACAAGATACCCCCCCCTTCAGCCTCATTGATGTATTCCAAAGGAAATCGGAGCAATACATTTGAAGGGTTGTGGGGCTCTATCAAGTGGCATAAGAAAGAGCACAGAGCACTGCAGTGGAAAGGTTAAATTAACGAAAATCTTGCCCTGCTCTCTTACTCCTGTGGGAACCTCTGCTGGATCTTGTTCCCTCTGCAAAGGGAAGGAGACTTTCCCATTCATAGAGGGCTAGTTAGGATCCAAGCCACAGTTTTGTATACTTGCAAAATCTGATTGATATCTTTAACATTTCAGTTAGTACTAAGTACCTAACTGCCTGATATAATACATTCCTATTTAGTTAATTGGTGCAGTGATTTTTATCTTAATTACCTATTTGTTTGACCTTTACTGCTGCTAGAGCTTTGGGGAGTGGGAAGTAAGTTTAAAAATATGCAGACCAAACTGGCAACTTCTCCACCTCCCCAATTCCCATTAAAAGCTTTTTCTTTCATTCCAAGTGCCAGTACAAATAAAAAGGGGTTTATAATGTTTTGCAAGTATGCTCATAACACAGGAAATTCAGTACTTGTGGGAGGCTACTAATAATTACTCTTTCTTTGTCTTTTCTATATCCAAATTGAGTAAAATGACCAAGAGCTTACTGAATATATGAGACTTCAGGGCCACTTCAGACATGAAATTTCATACATGAAGGTTGCCTGTGTAAATAGAAGCAAACATTTCTAGATCATGTGCTTTATTGGCATTCTAACCGCAGTATTTCCCTTTGCAATCATAACAGGACACTAAAGTGAGGTTATGTGATGATGTTATGTCTTGCCAGAAAAAAATATCATTAAACATGGTATAGCAATCAAGGCAACCGAATTATAAGACTAGGGTTATGTTTATGCCATTTCCACATGCACGCTGTGTTCCATAGTAGTAGCAATTAATAATGGGCCATGCAAGCCTAGCACCGTACAAATTATTATTTTTAAATTTATCTGACAAGAAGCTTACAATTCAGTGAAAATTGCAACATTAGTGTGCGTGAGAGAGAGAGAGAGAAGTAAAAGAGGGATGAAAGTAACAGAAAGGACTGACTGCCAAAGCGCATACATGCTTTCTGAAAGAGGTCTTTTTATTGTATTTCTTTAAAGTCTAAATTGAATTAGAGTATATTTCAACAAACGGAACATTCCAAATGGAATGATGAAAGGAAATGCATGAAATGCATGAACGTAAGAAGAGTTCTGCAGGATCAGACCAAAGTCCCATCTAGTCCACTGATGATCCAGATGCCCATAGGAAGGCTATGAGTAGGATATGAGCACAACAGCATTCTCCAGCTCCTTATTCCAGCCTGTTGCTGTTCTGCTGGATCAAACATATTAACTAGTAGCCATTGATAGCTTTACCATCCATGAATCTCTAAAAAGTGCATAGGATTGTAACCTTCAATGCCTAAAAGTGTGCATATTGAAATTCTGCATAAACATTTTCTACTTGTTTGTAATACGTTCTCTTTCCCCCCCCAGAAACAACCTCTGTTAGACATTCTCTGCTTCTACAAAGGTGAGAAGAACAAGAAGAAAAAGCAGTTGCTGTTGGTGGAACTATTAACATAAAATTGAGATCTTTCAAAAATTGTAGAGGAGAACTAAGTGAGATTATTTTCTCAAATGCATTGATTTGGATACTCATCTTGGCTATTCATCAAAAGCTCAACATTTCTGCCAGCTGTGCATTCAAGAATGGGCAGGTGATTGCCGTGAAACATTGGCTGTGATTCTCTTTCCCCGCTCCCCATTCGGAATGTGACAAAACTTCTAAAATGTTTTACCATATAAATGATGTATTGGGTTCCACACAATGAAGATAGAGGGTTGTATCCAATATTGCTGTTCCACTAGCACAAAAGACTTCTGTTTGTGCAATAGAATTTACTCCTCCTCTCCCCTTTAGCTCCTTGTGCACCCTCAAAATCTCCAGAGGGTTGGGGGTCCTTTGGCGCAGATTTGCAGGAAGATGAGAGGAAGTGGGATTCTCATAGCGGACCATTGCCCACACATCATTAGATACAGCCCACTAATCAGGAAGCATTTGGTATGCTTTTTTGTGTGCCTTACTAGATAGATCTTTTTACTTTGATTTCACAACAGACTTATTTGTGTTTCAACTAAAACTGGCAGTGGTTTTACACTTGGACATTTTCTTTTCTACACTTGAGTATGAAAGTTAGATATTGCATTATGATTCTATTTTGAATGCAAAGCAAAAATGTTAACCTTGAATATAATAACTGTATCATTAGAGAAAAATGTGCATTTTTCTAAATGGGTTTATCTCAGCACCCCAAAGCATTGCATTTACTTACTAACACATTTTACATTTTTAATGCATTTTAAAACAGGTATAGATTCATAACATGGATGGTTGGAATTCTTCAGTTTCTGTGCTGCTCTCACAGCCTTGTCTAGATGGCAGTGTGCACCTATTCAACCTGGATAAATGCCTTTAAAAGTGTTTACCATACAAAAACAGATACTTGTAAATGTGAAAATTGTACATGCTTTTTGCCAAAATGCAGCACATGACAATGAAATCCTCAGTTAAAAAGTCACAAATGAAATGTATCTTCATTAGTATCGGGCATATGATACCCTGGACCTCTAAGTATTTTGAAAGGTAACATTTTTATGTAAGTTAACATAAGGAATGTTTATGTTAACTATGTTTAAACATTAGCTTTTAAAATAAAATGTAAGATTGTTTGTGCTAGTTTGTGCTTTTTCATTTACAAATTGTATTACAGGCCTACAGTTTGAAAGATAAAAACATAGTTTGCTGCAAGTAATAATCTATTCTGATTCCTGAATGCAGGCCAGCATAGAAAGAAGTATGCAACTGTACGAATGCATATATTTATTCTGAAATTAGAATTGGTTTGGCTATGCCTGCTTACCTAATCAAATTTAGTTACTGATAGAAATGCAGTTTCTTGAGACATCTGTTGCTTTTTGCTTTTGTAAGGGTCTGAACTAAGTTGTTCATAAAGTAATAATGAGCAAATACTTCTCCCATTCTGCCTGTATATATCTTTAGGAAAGGCTAATGAGAAGATGTTCCATTGCTTGATGGAAGCTTTAAAGTACCCAATAGCCTTGTGAATAACATTAATATGTGAGTACATCCTCTAACAAGCTGAAGTGCTCATGTTTAAAAAGACAACTGGATGTCTCTGTATGATTTCATCGCTCCATGAAAGCTAGCTGTGGGATGCTACGAAAGACATCCAAAATTCATGTTCTTTTAAAAAGAAAACCTGTTAAAAATACTGCCTCTCTTTTTACCACAGTCAAGTACCACAAGCGTGCAAAACTCATTCTGTGTATTGGCAGGTGTGTTTTTTTAATAGAAAAAATGTTGTTTACAAATCCATCACAATTTGTACAAACAGATTTTACGAAACAATTGTTTAAGGAGAAAGAACGAAAAGGCTAACACATATATATCCATGTTCCTTATAGCTTATCAAGTCTGCAACTGGAAAGCTGCATATCAAAGAAAAAAAGTCAGAAATACTCCATTTCAAAATAAATTTCTTGGCATTTAGTGAATGCGCAAGTTATTCCCTTACAAGCAGGTTATTGGCTTTGTCGCTTAAAGCCTTGGCTACAAACAGATATTTTGAGTAAATCTCCACCTCCATTGTAGTTTCCATATGATTTCTATAAGTCATGGCATGGATCCAAAGACCAGTTTAACTTTTCGTGAGCCTAAGGTTTAGGGTTAGTCCTTTTCTTTTTAAATAGCAGTTCTTCATGTTGTGTGGCATTTGAAACTGAAGGGGATTTTTAAAATACTGCTGAATTAGGGAGGGAGGAATCAGATATTTAAAGCAAAAAAGTAAAAGATAAATGAAACTTAAGGCCAGGATCCAAGCAACAGGTTTTGTCCTTGGTTTGAATCTCAGTTACCCCTATTTATCAGGCAGCAACACTTTGGTTTTCTGTTCGTGATCTTCCAGCAGAACACCCACCTGTTCTACTATGAAGCACCTTTGGTGCTAGTGTGAATGAATATGGATAGTATGACAAAGTATTACATTTATTGAGATGATTAAGCTAAGATTTGATATTGTTCCCACCCACCTGTTTATTTTTTTGAGAAGTATCAAGATCTTCTGTCTTCTAAACTTGCCAAGAGAATTATTGATTTTTACAAGCCACCTGAGGAATCTAATCTTGCTGCTAAATATTGCATGCATTGATTTACTGTTAATGCTGCTAGATGAGCATAGGTAGCACTTGATTCTTTTTGTCACGGTTGCACCATTCCTGTGTGATACTTAGGTCTGATGCTAATTTTGAAAATGGAATCACACATAACCTTTGTTCTGTGTGGGTGGTGTAGTGTCTCTCCAACACAACAGAACTGTCTTGAATATTTCTTTTGAGTTTTAAAATATTTTTTAAAGGTGCTACCTTTAAGCTAAGTGATGAATTGGGATGTAGGATGGAGAGCAAAGGGGACTTAAATGCTAAAAACAGTAATACTAAAAAACAGGGGTGGCTCATGAAACCTGCCCCCTGCTTAGCCTATAGATTGCCTGGCATAATTTATCTGATTTATAATTCAGAGGGGAATGAATGTTTGTGAAGAAGAAAAATGCAACCAGGGTTGTTTCAAAAGATGGTTGGATGGCTGTTATGGAATCTTGATTGCTATCACAGCCAACTTCTACACATGTTTGTTCTTATGCTATCCCTAGAAAAGTCTCTATGGACTTTCTCACTTTTAACGACTATCAATAAATGCAAGCTTCCTTAGTTCTTGTATGCCTTTTATGATTAAAGTTACAGAAGGTACCAGTTTCAATTATTTGCTAGATGACTTAAAAGCTTAATTAGAGCAAAAACTTTGTTTTTTCTTTATCAGGGCTCTGGAGAACGTGTGTTTTGCATTTCCTTGTTAATGTCTAACATTTAAAAGCACAACAGACGAGTCTGCCATGAAACTGAAAACTTCAGTCAACAACTGCTATAATTATGTTTGTGCATTTCTATATGGATTCTGAGTGGTTCATATTAAGTGACTCAATTCTGGCACCTACTCATGAATAACTGATTTGAGGAAGTTTTAGGTCTTTCTTTTGCCTGTGCTATGTGATTTGGACCATATCTGTGAACATAAGATAACAAAGACATGTTGTGCTTTACCCAAGCCTCCCTTAAATGTACTCTTAGATGCACTGAGTGAATGATTTAGGATTCATGGGTTAAGCCTAATGCAGGAGTTTTTGGATTTTTATGGTGATATTTCCTGAGATCTTTTAAAAGTGACTGATGAAATTTTGTGTTTTCTGCTTCTCTTGTATCCCTTACCTGGACTCCCTTGAGTTATTAATGAGAATATTAGTGTATCATCTAGTTTTCATTCCATTAACTTCCCATGTCAATATTTAAATCTATTTCCCCACCCACATTAATTTCATTAACTTCTTCTCCCACAAATTTATCCCCTTGCCTTCTAGTGTATTCATTTTTATCTTCTGCATTCCAATTTCCCCTTCCTGCAATAAACCAAAATCAGCAGACAATTTGCTCACCAATGCTTGTATTGTTCAAAAGTGGTGCTGCTTGCTGCTTTTATTATTAAGTGCTGAAGTACTGTTCCTGGCTGTGGTGCTTGTTCTACCATGAGGCTTGTGTCAGCACTTGGGACAGGTCACTGAAGACTGCCAGTCTGGCTGCTGATAGCATCACTATATACCGGTAATAGCCCTGCCAGAAATTTACACTTCAGGACCATTCACTCAAACAATGTGAACTGAAGAAAAGAGTCATGGGGGGGGGCATTTATGGTGGAAGTTACTTGTAGGAAGTCCAGGGACTATAAAAACCCAAGAAAAAGAACCAGATTTTTTTTTGAAAAGTCACTATTTTGCAGCAGTAAAAGGTGGGTGTGGGGACATAGAATTCTGTAGGCCATAAAATATCTCTTGGTGCATGTTTATTTTGAAGTGAATGTGATTAACTACTTGCATTTGATATGTCAGAAGTTGAAAATCAATTGTACTTGGCTAGAAATGGCAATGAGAAATCCTCAAAGTGATTGGATAATTAATTGAATATGCATCGATTGTACAATTGGCTCTTCAATAATATGTGCAAATACAATTTTAAAAGAAATTGCAATGGATACTGATTAAAGATTCATAATCTCTGCCCATTTTTCAAAGCAAAATGCAGATTCACATTCCTAGATGTAAAAACCTTGAACCAATCCATAATTTCTCTCTGGGAAGTCTTTGAAGGCTTGAATTTCTGCACCAGTGGGTGACTTGTCTTTATGCCTTAAGGAGCTCTGAGGATGAAGTCTTGCTGCCAGCAAATTCCATCATTTCTGGGCTTCCTCTTTATATTTCAAGGGTCTGTCTGTTTCAGAGTTTTACCTATAACATAAGGATCCCAAAATCATGAGGGGACCCAAGCCTTTCCGCAAAATTCTAGGTCTGGTTCAACCCCTGGTTCATTAGAAGCTTGGGGCTGCCATCCCTGCTTCTGTTTGCATTGAGGGTTATGGGCTTTGTCTTCCTACTTCTCCAGAATACTCCGTGAAGGTGGTGTGAGTGGCAGGGAGGTAATAAGGAAGAATTCAGGCAGAACTTAGGTTTTTGGAAGAACTGCAAGCCCTGTGATGCTTAGCTAGCCCATGTTTGGGAGCATTCAAGATCTCCCTGTGCCTCCATCTGCCTCTCCAATTTACAGTACGATGCTATTCTTAAAAAATTTCCAGAGCCCTGCTAGATAACCTATTTATTAATTCATGGGATTGCCAGTGGGTGTATCTTAATGTCTTAATTCATTTTTAAAGCAAAACATGAACTATTTCAATAAGTACAAAACAATTTACCAAATATAAATCCGCACCCCATTCCCCCTCCTGTTTTTCTTGTAGATTCATTTGAGATCAGTTCATTGATTTAAATGCTTTTGTGTGCTAATCCAGGTAGATGGGCATGGCTCCTTCCACACCTCCGGCTATAGACCAGAACAGCAGCCTACTTGAACTTGCAATCCATATCAAGGTGCACTTGATACACAAAGACATGACTAACGGATGGCTGCTTGCTTGTACCAGCTTCTGTGATCCTCTCTATTCCACCTCTCCTTGCCAATCTAGCCTGGAGGGAAGAGGACAGGGATGAAAACGGAATAAAAATGGTGCCTTGATGTCTAACTTTTGGCAGGCCAATAAATGCATTTCTATCTCGACCATGTGTGTGTAATACACAAAGACAGCAAAAATGCTTTCATATATTCCATTATTTAATGCTCCTCGACGGCCCTTTTCCTAGTTAAGATTTTGTACAGTAACTCAGCCTTAAAAGGCGCTTCTGTTGCTCCGCAACAAGGAAGCAGCAAAATACAGACAGGTTTGTGAGTCATTTTCAAGTTCCAAATTATCAAATAGAGGTCTGATCAGTACCATGACTTTCAGCAGACAATGTTTTTATTCAGAAAAGGAAGTGAAGTTAGGCGTAACTTTAAATAACCCATATCGGAGGTAACCTCTCAAATTATATAGAATTTGACATAATTAAACAGTTATTTTGTCGTACTACAATTTACTGCATTGCCTTTTATGTCTACAACTTTGATGTTCATCATGGATTTGAATGGTTTATTTCAGTGAAAGTTGGCCTGCGTTTTCAACATGCAGAGTGCAATTACCTTTTTCCAGAAACCATGCAAAATGTTCTTGGTTCTCAATTTGATTACTCTTGGAGAAATATCTGTGGCACTTAATCTGGGCACTGGCATGGTTAAGCAGCAGAGAAGAACCCACAGTATTGCTACCTGTATCAAGAAAATGTGATTTTTTTAATGCTACCGGTATACCCAAAAGCAGGCTATAAAAATAAACGCAGTTAGTTGTGCTGCCACAATATGTAATCTTCAGTGAAAGAAAACAACTTAAGTTTCTTCAGACCACCCATAAAACATAAATAAACCTAGACTTATTCCATGTGTATTTCAACTGCTTTATATAAGAAAAGGAATAATATAGACATCATTAAAAAAAATTTAAAGGAGGAATACGCATTTGCTGAAATTTGATCTGGTGAGATTTTACAATGCACACGTTAAATTAAGTTGTGCTCAGGAGAGAAAAGATCCCTATTGGACCAATTATTAAAACCAATAAATTTGGGTAGCAATCTTAACCCCACTTTCTTCGGAATAAACCCCATTGAAATCAAAAAGACTTGACTAGAGATGGTTATGACTGCTCTGTTATATAACCCATTTTAAGGAAACCATTGTATGCTACAAGTTCAAAATGATATCCTTGCACCCATTTTCAACGGGCTCCAGAAAAATGCAATGGAAATGCAAATATGCAAATATAATATTTGAGATTAAAATCATTAAAAATGTAAGTGCTCTGCTGGATTTGATCCCAACCCTATCTAGCATCCAGTTTCTCATAGGAAGCCCACCAGCACAATATAAAAGCAGAAACTTTCTGCCATTGTTGCTCTCCAGCAACTGATACCTTCTAGCACACCATGCATTTAGGGCACATAATTTCCCCCAAAGAATCCTGGGAAATAGTTTGCTCAGATTGCTGGGAATTGTAGCTCTGTGATGAGTAAACAACAGCTTCCAGGATAGTGATTCTATAGTGATGTGATTCTAATGTATAGTTTGTGTGCATGAGAGCGGGCCTTTTCTGCAATGGCTCCCCTCCCTTATGGAATGCTCTCCCCAGGGAGGCTTGCCTGGTGCCTTCATTACATATCTTTAGACACCAGGCAAAACCATTCCTCACGGAGACAGTGCCTATCTAATATGTAGCAGGAGAAAATTCCAAAGGGTAGGTGCCAAGATCCAATATCGTACCGAATGGCTCTCCTGATAGGATAGTATCTGCAGGAGGTCCTCTTCTGTAGAGTCCAGTGATCAATTGGGTGTATATGGTAGCTGGTTCCAGTACTAGCACCTGGAATTTAGCCAAGTAACAGGCATTACGAATACCTAGTACCCAGATCTCCCATTGATGATTATTTGTGAGAAACAGGTAGTACCGTATTTTTCTGTTTATAAGATGCCCCCTATTTTTGGAGACTCCGATTTAAGAAAATGGGGGGAGATCCTATCCGTGTACAAGATGAGCCCAGATTTTGAACATTATTTCAGAGTAAAAAACATAGTCTTGTACACAGAAATGTACTCTACTTATATCACTCATCCCACCCATACATCACAGAGGACACTTGCTCCATTTGGCTCTCAGGCATTGTCAGCCCCCTTTACAGAGGTAAGAAAATGGTTTCTCCTGTATTTCCCACTGCTCTATTTTTCTTTTTGGTGATACCAAGGGTATTTTCTTGATGTTTTGTTTCAAGGAGAGCATTGTGTTGGTGGTTCTTTAAATTAGCTGTGATCCTCATTGATTTACAACAAAAAAATGATAGTTCACTAACAGAAGATAATATGTAAAGAGAAATAAAACGTAGATAATTGATCACAGAAGTAGAGAAATGATACTAAAAATAAAATTAAACATAATTAAGAACAATGTAATTAAAATAAAACAAGGTTGGATAATCTCCCTAGATAATGGAACAAAAATAGCTGGTGACTCTCCAGCTTGAGTATTGTTTCTTTGTTTATAAAATAAAACAGCCAGTGGAGATTTTTGGGGGGAGAGACAGAAATAGTATACTGCTGCTAGACTACTTAGCACAAAAGCGTTCTCCAGGTGGGGGTAAGGATCTACATCAATGTTTCAACGTTGGGTGCTGGGTGTCATTTTGAATCAAGATGGTGGCCTGAAGCATGACTTTGGCATGACTTTGCCTGTTTTATGGCATAGGTTCTACTGCATTTGAGATATGGCTGCCGAACTCAGCACGGGGGTTCTTGAGGTAAGACGGGGTCTTTGTTGGCATTTGGATGCCAGACACAATTTTGAATCAAGATAGTGGACTGGAATGTGACTTCACCCAGTTTGGGGTGTGACAGGTCCAATCTCACAAATTGCATTATCCATTTAAGAAACATAATTTTTTGGTTTCTAAAAATCCCCAGGCAATGACAGGCACTCCCCACAAATATTTTAATAAACGAAATCCAAAAGGCCTACGGAAAAGAAACATTTTTGCAATCAATGTTGGTGGCAGCCTAATTTTTTTATATGCTTTATCTGAGACTATGCCATTGGAAATTTTACTTGAAAAGATGGACATCGCAGAAACAGGTAAGTGAGTAAATTTGCCAAGTAAAGTAGTCTGTCTGGCTTCCTCCAAGTGTAGCCAGTTAAGAAAGATTGATTTCCTAAGCACCAAACTGGCTACATTTTCTACATTTAGCTCTAAATCTTCTGCAACCATCATTTCCAGTAGCATATTTTCTCCATGGCTGCTCTGCTGAAACAATTGCACACCAATTTCTTTGAAAGACACAACTAATGATTAATGGTCTTAAGCAGGCAAACCAGGGAAATGCAGTCTAACCTACTACTACTACTACTACTACTACTATTATTAATTTCATTTCTATACCACTTTACATTTTAAAGAATCTTAAGGCAGTTTAGAACCTACATTAAAACATCAAATAAAACAACCCAGAATAAAACATTACTGGAGAAAGCCAAGTATACGTTCAAAACAACATGATTAACAGGGAACTAAAATATTATCTTGAAGATTTCAGAATAAAACATTCCTAAAGGAAGTCAAATATAAAACACACATTTAAAACAACGAAAAGCAATGACAAACCTAGATGGCATCTTAAAAAGTAGAGACATCACCTTGCCAACAAAGGTCCGTATAGTTAAAGCTATGGTTTTCCCAGTAGTGATGTATGTATTTGATTTGTTTTGTGTGTTGTGTTTTATGATGGGCGTAAAGCCGAATAAACATTTTGATTTGATGTATGGAAGTGAGAGCTGGACCATAAAGAAGGCTGATCGCCGAAGAATTGATGCTTTTGAATTATGGTGCTGGAGGAGACTCTTGAGAGTCCCATGGACTGCAAGAAGATCAAACCTCTCCATCCTTAAGGAAATCAGCCCTGAGTGCTCACTGGAAGGACAGATCGTGAAGCTGAGGCTCCAATACTTTGGCCACCTCATGAGAAGAGAAGACTCCCTGGAAAAGACCCTG